ACAAATTTGAGATGCAACTACATCCAACTGACGAATCTCAAATAGGATGAAACATGTGTCCTGTATTCCACTATTAACTACCATCCATCTTTACTTATGTTAATCTTTTGTTGAAATTTCACACCAAGTGTATCAGTATATAGCTTTGTGTAATATTTGATAAATAAACGGTCTCTTTTTTCTTCCCTTACTCTTCAATATATCACTACTTATAGGGATCATCTTATATATAGCACTTAGTTATTAGGTTGCATTTAGACCCCACCCCCACTTCCACCCCAAAAAAAACCAAGGTGACTACAAAATGTAGTTGATTCTATGATTGAACGGATTGTTGTTTTGTATATTTGACAGATTTATCACATATACTTATGTATGTCTTTTTGTTTTTATGTTTAAAAAAAAAACGAATACCTGACATCACATCTTCAAAAAGAGATTCTCCATATGTATATATGTATATATAATGTACTTGAGAGAGTGAGAGTGAGTGAGTGAGTGAGTGAGAGAGAGAGAGTGAGAGAAAGAAAGAAAGAAAGAGAGAAGGTACAGTCATATGAAGTAGTATCTATGCTAATCAACAATCATTGACATTTGCCAAAACATTTAATAATATATAGTTGAATTATATCACATGATTTCATTGGCCTCATTTAAGAGAATGGATTCCATCTATCTATAGATCTATGGTGTACCAAAAAAAAGAAAAAGGTTATTTAGAGTATTGTAAATTCTTGGATAATGTTTCTTTGTACTATTCACTAGTTGACAGAGTTTTATTCTCTGATCTGGATGGTTTAGTCGTGGAGATTTCATCGTTCTTCTAAACGACATCAGAAGAAGAACAATGAAAGCTGCACGATCATCACCGAAGCTATAAATTTTCTTTACCATACCACTATTCACATGAATTATGTAAACCTCTGTACAAGGATAGATTAATTTTAATACTCAAGATCATGAGTCCACTATGAAAAACCTGGAAGCATTGGACGACTGTTTCGTCCTATTGTGAGACTCCTCAGGAGTTCTCATCCACGATTCTGCCTCGTGAGATTCGAACTCAGGACCTATCAGTCTGATAGGTCAACTATTAAAATTACTATAATATCCAAAAAAACTCCTTCTGAAGGATAGATTAGTTGTTTTTTTTAAAGAAAGGAAAGGTATTGTCATTAAATCCCAAAACAATATATTACTCACTATGTATTTTAATATGTTCTGTTCTAATGGGATGATACGACTCTATAACACTTGAACTCATGGTTTCTCATTCCTCTGACTGGATACAGTAAATGATAAAATCAAGTTCATTTTCTACTGATATAATGTTTCTAAATTTTTTAACAGTTGAGATCATGAATCAATTAAAGCTAAACCACCACGGAAAACTTGGAAACACTAGACGGTCGTCTCATCCTTCTGTGGGACTCCTCATCAGTGGGCATCCAAGATCACGCATTGTGAGGTTCGAACCCATGACCTATCAGTCTCACGCGCAAATGGTTAACCTCTAGATCATTGAGCTAGCTGGCATCCAATTGTGTTAATGTCTAACTTCAACTAATCCACGAAATTGAGTGACACATCCATCATTGTCTTCAGTGATTTACTATCTCACAACAAGCCCGGTTGAGCTCCACTAGTCACTACTTCTCAATAAAACTCCAGGAAATACCACTTGAGCATATGAGCGTTTGCTGATTAATATCAGAAGGGGTTTTGTGGATATTATATTAATTTTAATAGCTGCTTCATCGTAGTATATATCTCTTTATCAGTATGAATCCATAACCTCCTAGTCTTTAAGCGAATGTTTAACTATTAGGAACATTAAATTATCATCTGAGTGTATACATTTCCAACTTCATTCACTTTATGATATAGCGCGACGATCGTCTTATGTCACTAAAGGTAGCGTTTTCACCACAAATATATCTGAACACCACTGATCAAGACTTTCTACTAGAACATCAGTTACTCAACTAGAAATTAATGGTTAACGGGATGATTATCAATTACATTTTACCATGGATAAGATAAAATTAACACCAAATAAAATTTAGCGAGTTGATTGATAGTAAGTTGGAATGTGACTGGCAGTGGAATCCAGAATAAACGTTTCGTTCTAGTCTGGACATGTCAACTAGATATACCTGCATACAATAGAGTTGATGTTCACTCTGTAACCTGAACAGAACGGAACTCTCATCCTAGATACCACTACTAACCACATTCTCTCTATTCTATATAAACTTATATCATAATAGTTGTGTTATGGAGTCAATCTGCAACCAAAACTGATGAATTTTTAGTCAAAACTATGATGTAAACTATTTGAAATAGAATATTAACGTTACATATGTAGAATTCTTTAAGAAATATTGATATGAATAGAGTAATTCTAAAGTCCAAAGGTAATCAATTATACATAGATTATGTAATAGTAACTATGAGAGATAATCTCGGCAAGTGTTGATAACATAATATGAGACTGTCATATGAAGTAGGTATTCAAATAAACGTTTCTATTAGAGAGTATACTATCTTAAATTGAGAAAAGAGATGGATATTGTCACGTTATTCAATTGAAGTCATTATTCTTATAATCAATTTCTTTGAATAATATACATCATTCTTCTTAAGTTTAACTAATCAAGTGGGTTTGTAGGTTAATCGAATGATTTTGCTGGTACTATGTTAATACAGTTGCAAAACGTGGTCGTTAAGAGTAGCAGATACTTGTAAGTTACTAGTATTTGATCACAAATTTCTTAGAAATATTGCTCACCGAGTAAGCAATAGTGAGGTTAAACGTAGGGTATTAGGGAATGATGATGGTAGATCAGTTGATCAGGTTGTAAATCTTCATCGACTAAGATGGTTGGGCCACGTGTTACGTATGCCTGAGCACCGATTACCACGATGCACAATGCTGACTAATGCTAGGGATGGTTGAATGAAAGTTAGGGGTGACCAAACCAAAGTGTAGCATCAGTTCTTGAAGTCACTAACTTCTGGTTTGAGCCATGGTAGATACAGACTACTTAGTTGGAGTCCGCGACTATCGTAACCAATAGTTGGAGACTCTTGGTGACTTGGCTCAGAATCGATCACAATGGCATAGGTATATGCACTCTTTGTTTTCCCTTAAACTATGAGATTAAATATGCTTTATGTCTCTCTTTCTACGAACTAATTAATTCTTCCTGTACTATATCTTCAAGTGCAATCTTTCTTTTATACATTACTATCATTGAAGTAACTACTTGTATGAATCCGGTGTTCATCCTGTTATGCTAATGAGATATGGTAACTTGGACCGATGAATATATGTGCCTGTTCCTACAGTGTAGCTGACTGGTTGACTGACTGACTGACATACTACTTATATCTGTCAACATCAGTAGCACACATGTCATTAGATTGTATAGTGCGTTGTGATGTTTTCAGAACATTGTAAATCCATTATTATTAATTCAAGAAGTATTTCATAGTGAACAAAGTTTCAGAATCGATTTAAGTAAATTATATTCAGGGATTCACCAATGATAGATGTTAAGATAAGCTATTGAATTACTAGGTAAAACGAGTGACCACTGGAGTTTAATGACGTTGGAATTGAAGTAATTATTATCAGTGATAATGAATTACAGTCTGGGTATATATAAAAAAGTAACCAAAATTCAAAGACTGAACTAATCAATGGTCAGAACGCTGCTTACTCCATATGAAATTCTTGAGGCTTATCTTGGATAGGGTTATGTATGAGTACCGTTAGGTAACAAACTAGTACATCATATGCTCTCTATTCCTGTTTGGTTTTCAATGATTCTTCAGTTAATTTCAGTCTGTACTAAAAACAATGCTGAGGTTAAAAATAGAGTACTAGATGTAGATGGTAAAACTGATGATGAGCTAATTACTCTTTATCAACTGAGTTGGTTCAAACATGCATTACATATACCTAGAAACCGTCTACTTCGACAGGCGCTTTTGTCTGATACAGCAGTAGATCAGAAGAAACGTAGTAATAACCAAATTAAAACGTGTTATCAGTCAATAAAACCACTAACTGTTGGGAATATTCATGTTTATAGATGCAGAATAACTGGTTGAGGACTTCATCGATTCAGAACTAGTCACAATGGCGTAGATACATTCACGAGTTTTCTTCCAAAGATCTCCAATTTCAAAATTAATTTGTACTTTTATATCTCAAAATCCATGCATTTTGTATCATATTTTCTATGTCTAATCCTTTCTACAATGATGGTATTTGTTTACATAGTTTCAATTCGTTGTTCTAATATGATGTTATGACTTAAACCGATGAACATATTGAATCCACGTTTTATTCTTATATTTATTTATTTAAACGGCTAAACATCAGTATAAGGAGGTACCGAATAGAAATGCGCCACAAATATCATTCGATTTGTGTGAGGGCTGGGATACTGTCTGAGTGCCCAAACCGAAGCAGGTGGTTTTCTTAGGGAGCCACACTCAGAGCCTTCGGCCTAAAGGCATGATCCACATTGCAGTGAAGCAACGTCAGGAAATGCAGTCTCATGGTAACCGGTGACCAACATTAGATTCATACGACATTTCGTTTCCTTACGATCCTGGAGCTCATGTGAACGATTTTTTTGGAATCACGGTTTTCCAACACTCGTAGGTGAACCCTTCATATCCACCATCCCGGTTAAATTGCCGAACATTCGCTTTTTATTCTTTCAATTTCGCAAAGAACAGAAAACGGTGAGTAGGGCTTCCCTAGTACTGGTTGTAGACACGTGGCCATGTGAGAGTATTTAGAGAGGGAGATGTAGTTCTCCGTACCTTCGGCTGAACTAGAGTATTTAGCGGCTCCACATTTTATGTTGCTTACGACAAACTGCTCACAATTCAAATGAATTAAACAGTGTCATTGTTTATAAATCTTTTAGTAATCACTATCATTATAATCTATTCACATATTTTGTTTTCTTTTTTTTTAGAAATGAATCCAAAACTTAATCCTCCTTCATACATGCAGAAACTGGATGATGTTCTTGTTGAAAATGGTAGGTTATTGTAATATAAATATTCTTAATTCCTTTTTCAATTTCTATGTTTTAATACAATTTCATATAAATGATAATACTGTACACTAAACCAAATTAGGAAATAATCAACATTGAGGTTAACTATCATCATTGTCTGTGGATGGATGAGCACCGGCATCTTCCATCCAACTCTGTCATGAACATTTACTTTCCAGTTCTTTCTAGTTGTTATTCATGCTTCCCATTTCTACTTCAGATTCCCGATATAGTGTGTCATTTAGTCTCCTTCTTTTCCGTTTCTATTCAGGATTCCAAGTTAGTGTTTACCTCGTGATGCAGTTTGATGATTTTCCTATCGTATGTCTTATCCACTTCCAACGTCTTTTTCTAATTTCCTTCTCATCTAGAAGCTGGTTTGCTCCCTCCCACAAAGGGTTGTTGCTGATGGTATCCGGCCAACGAACATTGAGTAGATTGATATCAGGTATATATGAGCCGTACAAGTCACTTCATTTGTATTTGGGCTATGATACTGTTTGGGTGTTCAGACCGAAGCAGGTTGTTTTCCTAGGGTGCCACTCCCGGAGCCTTTGACCTAAAGGTCTAATCCACAAGGCAGTGGAGTAACGTTAGGAGATGCAATTCCACTGTAGCCGGTGACCAACGATTAGTTCATACTCTACTTGTTCTTTCAGGATTCTGGAGACGATTGGTTTAGAATCTGGGTTTTCTAACTCCTTTAGGTGGATCTTCCGTATTTACCAACCCGGTTAAATCGCCAGATATTCTTTGTTCGTCCTCTCAATTTTGTAATTAACGCCGCGTTTTAGAGAAAGCAGTGGGTAGGACTTCCCTTGGAGTGGCTGTATACACATGACCATATGAGAGCATTTCGGGAGGAAGATCTAACTCTCCACACCCCCGACTGTAACAGAGCATTTGAGGGCGATGATTCAAGTAAACTTTACCAAGTGGATTTATTCCTAACTTGCAAAACAATCTCATCAAACAGATTTTTATCAGGCGAACGTATTATATAATCTTAGACTAGAATAAATCTTATCATTAAGAAAAACAAATACAATGATTAACACAATTTCATATAACGTAAAAAAAACATATCAATTATTATCAGCATAGCGTTGTGGAGATTGTTGAGTTTTAATTCAGATCATGTGCTCATCAACGACTGGCCTCGAGAAGTAATTCTTGGAGTTCTAGTGAGGAGCCGTGGTCAACAGAGTTCAATTATGTCGGCTGTGAGGCAGTTACTTACTAACGACAATGGAAGATGGTTGCACAAAATCTTGGATTGTTTGAAATTAGACATTAACACCATTAGACACCTGCTCAGTTGTCTAGAGGTTAGACGTTCACACACAAGATCAAAGGTATCGGGTTCGAATCCCGAATACGTGACCATAGATGTTCACTCTTGAGGAGTCCTATACTGGGACGAAACATGTATCCAGTGATTCCAAGTTTATAATGGTGATCTAACATTGATCGGCACATGATCTTAATCTCAATTACTATGGTAATTAAATTTCAATTTACAATTTTTTTCAATATTATGCAAATCAATTAACTGAAATACAAATGTTACGTTCAATAATCGAAACAAACAAACATTTTCAGTGATAATTTGAGAACAAAAACTCTTTTAACATTCATCTATATGACATATATATATATAAGGTACAATTGACTACAGTAATGAAGGACTGATTACAATGAGATGAATGAATCAATAACAGTTTTCAACAGAGACTGAAATCAATCGTCAGAACATCAAGGATACGTGAAAAAGATATCTTGATATATATTTATTTACGTGGTTACTTGACGGTCTTCTTGAATATCTGGGTTACCTGTACCTAACATCTAGATATTTTAACAAGTTATCGATTTTCTTGTTTGTTTTACTATATACATCGGTGAGGCTATAATTTATAAATGAATCAATCAAGTGTATAAGATAACTGGTCTCGAATCTTGGCGCGAAATTCACTCATCTATTTGGATAAATAAAGTTTTGACATTCTAGCTAATGTTAGTTCGTGATGAAAACACACGAAATCTAATTCCTAAGCTTAATTCCTCACATAAGTTCATAATCCTCATTTGGTCCTGGTTATGCAGTGGACACTCTCAAGGTCAGTCTAGAGTTGCTCATAGGTTGACAATGAATTATAGTTTCACTCATACATCATTATGCCTTTCGTTGTAAAAGTTACAAAAGGCTCAGTCAGAGATATTATGGTTGCTGGCAGCAGTATGCATTGAAAAAGATGTACATTATTTAGATTTAGATTTACTGGAATGTTAACTTCTTAGTCGATCAGTTACAACGTAAGACTGCTAAATTCTAATTAGCGATGACTCAATAGATTTTCGTCAGGATCGACCATGAAATAAGAAATGGGAATTTGTTGATATACTCTGTGCTGAGAATCTTATATTGTACCAAAAAAGTATAATATTGAATAAAGCCATTAATAATTATAATAATAAATTTGTAACCTCATATGAAATCAATCTAATAATCTTGGAGTTTTACCGTGAATGTAGTACCATTCGATGAATAGATCAAAAACTAATGATTCATGTTTTTGCAAATTGACTTACGTTCGCAGGATATAACCCCAGAGGGGGTCCAGGCAGAGTTCATGATAGACAATGGTGATTATTAATTGTTATATTCATCATCTTAATATTGATATGGTTATCTACATAAATGACAGCTTTCTACGATACTTTACAGACAATCCTCTCAAAACTATACACTCATGAATATATGATAATTATTTTGATATTATTATTATTATTGGCTTTAGTCAATATTATATTTTGGGTACAATATAGAATTTTCAATACGAAGCATTTCAACAAGTTCCCGTTTCTTATTTCTTGATTGATAATGATGATAACATATTGAATGATCGCCAGTTAGATGCACTGGTACAGCTGAAGGTGAGGTGAGTCAGTGCTCATTTTAGAAATGCTCTCACATGGCCACGTGTATACAGCCACTCTAAAGGAAGTCCTACTCACTGCCTTTTCACGAAGGGGGTGTTGTTTACGAAATTGAGAGGACGAATAGTGAATGTCCGGCAAACTAACCGGGATAATGGACACGCGGAACCATGTAGAGGAGTTGAAAAACCCTGATTCTAAACCAGGATCCTGAAGGAACAAATGACGTATGAACCTATTGTTGGTTACCGGCTACCATGGGACTACATCTCCCGACGTTGCTCCACTGCCTTCTGAATTAGACTCCTAAGAAAACCACCTGCTTTGGTTTGGGCACCCAGGCAGTATTACAACCCGCCCACAAATGAATTGACTTGTGCATTCGATGCCCCTTTTTACCAATAATTATGTATTCAAATGAATAAATAACAGTTTATTTTTTATTTTATTTTTATTTTGACACATAAATATTAGTACAAAGGGGCAACGAATACATATGCGTCACACAAATCAAGTGATTTGTGTGTTAGATGCGATACTACCCCTTTTGGCCAGACCAAAGCTGGTGGTTCTCTTAAAGGTCACACTCGAAGCCCTTGACCTAAACGTCTGATTCGTAAGGCGGCGAAGCAACGTCAGGAGATGTAGTCTCATGGTAACCGTTGATCAAAAATTAGTTCATACGACATTTGTTTCCTTACGATTGGTTTGGAATCAGGGTTTCCAACACTCGTAGGTGGACCCTTCATATCCACCATCCCGGTTAAATCGCTGGCATTCGGTTTTCGTCCTCTCAATTTCGTAAACAACGCATAAATCTCAAAGAGGCAGTGATTAAAACCTCCTTGGCAGTGGTTTTATGCACGTGGTCATGTAAGCGTATTTGGAGACTGAGGATTGACTCTCCCCAACCTCTGTTGTACCAGGTCAGATGGGGGTTCTGTAGGAACAAAAACCATATGAATCTGGCATGGGACACCCTAGAAATGACTGGCTTCAAGAGATATTTCCTGAAGTTCTATTCAAAAGCCGTGACCAGTGAATTTCAACAGGATCTGTTATGAGATACTCGCTGAAAACAATAATGGATCGTGACACAATTTCGTGAACCGGTTGAAGTTAAACATTAACACGGTTAGATTCTGACTCAATGTTTTTAGAGGTTAAACGTTCACAGATGAAACCGAAGATCCTTGGTCGGATTCCCGTATGCAAGATCATGTACGAGCACTATTGAGGAACTACATACTAGGACGAAACAATCATCCGATGTTGTTAGACTTCCCATGATTGTCTACTATTTATTCATTCATAAATTCAATTATTTTTTTAATTAATTCTATAACTTTAACTGTACTATTTTTTTTTTAAAATTTTCTTCTTCTACATCAAATCAAATAAGAAATGAACACTGAATCATTTAAAACAATAAAAAAATCTAATAAATTTAATCTAAACAAAAATCCTGATCATGATGAAGATTGGACAATTCATGATGGATCTCGTAGATTTACACCAATTTTATCATCACCTATATCAATGAAAACACCACCATCACCACCACCACCACCACCATCCCAATTCCAATCTCAATCCCAACTTCGACCTTTATCACCACCACTACCACCAATACCCCCAACAACAACAACAACAACAACTATACCATTAATTGAAAAGATTAATCAATTAACTACTATTAATAAATTCAATGAAATTATTCAACCAAACTATAAAGAAAATCTATTTACTGAACAAAAATCAATATGGAATAAAACGAATAAAACGGTAACACAATTTAATGAACCTAATTATTCAAATAAATTCAATCCTCAACGTATTATACATAGTACACCATGTAGTCCTACTATAGAAAGAAATATTCTTATTAAATCGATTCATGATCATCATGATCGTCATGATAATGATGAAGTTATATTAAGAAATCATAAAAAATCATCAATTGGTTTACCACCACGTCCATTAAGATCACCAATTATACGTTCATATGGTCAATCTATATCACCAATACAACATCATCGTATATCACCATTATCATCTTGTACAAATAATGAAATAACTAAAACTAAACAAATTGATCCAATTACTGGTGAAATTCAATATATCACATCTAGAACAAGATCATATACTGATTTAAATACTAATCAATTAATTACAGAAATAGAAGAAAATATACAAGGTGAAGGAGATACAGAAGTAAGAGTAGTACGAAGGAAAACACGTAAAAGTAAGTAAAATAAATCAATATTGTTATATGATATGTTGTGATTAGTTGTATAATAGATAATCCTTAAATACTCTGGTTACGGCCAAGGGTAAGGAGAGTTAGCTCTCTCTCTCTCTCTCTCGAAATGATCTCACATGGTCACACGTATACAGCCACTACCAAAGAAATCTTAATCACTGCCTTCTCATGAAAGGGGTGTTGTTTAAGAAATTGTGAGGATACAAAACAAATTTCAAGGTTGGTGGATACATCTAGGACAGTAGGAAAACCCTGATTCCAAACCATTAGTGTACATAGGTTCCAGGGTTCCAAGGGAACAAATGGCATATGAACCGATCGTTGGTCATCGGATACCATTTGACTGCATCTCCTTACATTACCCCACTACCTTGTGAATTGAACCTTTAGATTGAAAGTTTCGAGTGTGACTCGGTCTGGGCTATCAGACAGTATCACAGCCTACATACAAATGTTTACTACATATATATTCGGTGCTACTTTGTACCAATATTTATGTGTTCAAATATATAAATAATGTATTATTGATTTCAGCATGTAGACTCGAGATTATTGATTTATGAGTGAGACTAGAATTTATGTACGATATTTGAGCGATACTAAAGTGATTTTGGTGGAGTTTTATTCTCTGAGCTTATGATGTCGTTCAGAAGAACGATGAAAGCACTACGACTAAACCATCCAACTCAGAGAACAAAACTCTACAAAAATCATCTACCTGAGCTACAAATCTTCTCCACCATCTCAAGATGCTAAAGTGACTTTGAGAATGTCCACCTAATTACTAGATCTAAATGACGATGATAAACCTGTGTGAAGAATAAAGAATGTGATTTACAATTGATGGTTAGATTTAAAGGTTTGCATCATGAAGTAACATCAGTTAAAATGCCAAAGCGTTATTTAATCAAATGAATAAGTGAATTTTGCATCGAAATCTGATTGATATGTCCATAAATTATAGACTGATATCATTATTTATATGATCAAAGCACAGAATTGCGAAAAATTAATCAAATATAACATAGAACCTGGTACGTATTTACACAGGTTCAAGTTATCATACTTCATTAGTATAGAGTGATCAACTTGGTAGGGCAAATCTCACAGTAGTTTAAGTAATAGAAAGTATTAGGCATCTAAAATACAATAAGAGACTATAAAAATGACTTGTTAAATCTGATTGACGTGTTTTAGCAAGACTTTTTATACGAGATGGGGTTCCCAACCTCATGCCTAACCCCTCACCCTTTACTAGTATAGGAGTTGTGGAGATTATTAAATTTTTGATTGAAATCATGAACTGATTGATGTTAAACCACCTTTGGAAACCTGGAAGCACTGGACGGTCGTTTTGTCCTATTGTGGGACTCCTCAGAGGTGCGTATCCACGATCCCGCTCGTGGGATTTGAACCCAGGGCCTCTCCCTTTACTCGGGTTTAAGACCGGCACTAACTCTAGAAGAGCTGAGAGTGGAGTTACGATAAAAATTAGTGAAATAATAACAAAAAAAGCTTTATGATGAATCTAGTACAAGAAGAAGTGGGATAACACACTTGTTATTTCAAACAATTTTGAGTCATTACATTCGAAATTTTTAACATCTACTTACATGACTCAATTTAACAATCAGTATATTATCAGTATGGGGGTTGTGGAGATTGTTAAGTTTTTGGTTGAGATCATGAATCAATTGATGTTAGACCACCGTTGGAAACCTGGAAGCACTGGACGGCCGTTTCGTCCTAGTATGGGACTCCTCAGCAGTGCGCATCCACGATCCCGCGAGCGGGATTCGAACCCAGGACCTACTGGCTTCGCGCCTGAGCACTTAACCATTAGACCACTGAGCCGGCATCCAATGGTGTTAGTGTCCAACATCAACCAATCCACGAAATTGCGCGACCAACTTCCATTGTACTGAGGTAGATACCTGTCTCTACCCGACACGGATTAGCTCCACTGGTCACGACTTCTCACTAGAACTCCGAGAATTCCCTCACGAAGCTAGTCACTAGTATATTCATCATTCTATTGAATGAATCCTAGTTAATAATTAAGAAATTTTAAAAGAGAATTTACAATCTAAGCTTTTTTTTAAAGTTAACCTTTCAGTTGAAATCACGGCGAGACTACAATTTATGGATGAACTAATTAGGTATGAGATAACAGATGTCGGATTTCGGAGCGAAATTCATTCATTCATTTATTCGAATAAATAGATTTTAAGCACTGATTTAATAATAAAATTGTTTAAACAATAAGATTATTTCTATAATTGAATATCATGAATGAACAGTTGAATTTAGAGTCAGTCAGTCAGCTACAACGTAGGAACAGGCACATATATGCATCGGTTCAAGTTCCCATATCTCATTAGCACAACAAGATGAACACCGGATTCATAAAAGTAGTTAATTAAGAGGTAGCAATATATAAAAGAAAGATTACACATGAGGATATAGTACAGGAAGAAAGAATTAGTTGGTAGAAAGAAAGATATGAAGTGATTTTAATCTCAGTGTTTAAGGGATTACAAAGAGTGCATATACCTATTCCATTGTGATCGATTCTGAGCCAAGTCATCAAGAGTCTCCAACCATCGGTTACGAAAGTCACGCGGACCTCAGCCAAATATTCTGCATCTACCAACATGGATAAGACTAGAAGTTAGTGACTTCAAGCAATGATGCCACCTTTTGGTTTGCCCGCCCCGAACTTTCATTCAACCATCCCTAGCACTACTCAGCATTGTGCATCGTGGTAATCGGTGCTCAGGCATACTTAACACGTGGCCCAACCATCTTAGTCGATGAAGATTTACAACCTGATCAACTGATCTACCATCATCATTCCCTAATACCCTGTGTCTAACCTCACTATTGCTTACTCGGTGATTCCAGCAGATGTGAGCAATACTTCTAAAACATCTGTGGTCAAGTATTAGTAGCTTACGTTTATATAAACATTAGCTAAATATCACGAATGTAAATCATGCATGTACACCAACACAGAGTCTCATATTAGGACAAAACAATCGTCCAATGCTTCCAGGTTTTCATTTGTGGTGTCTAATATTGATGATCGATTCATGATCTTAAAACAAATTTCCATAATCCTATATTGATAAAATGTGAACATAATCGATCATAAAATATAAAAAAATGAAGTATGAGTTGTGAGGAACTAACGAATATCTTTATTGATTTATTATCTAATATTTCTATTGATGCATTAGAAACAAGATATCAATGTCTTAATATTATAAATTTAGATGAGTTTACTGCGGAACAATGAGCTATATGGCTATGTAGAGCTGAAGGTCTCATATGAAACTGGAGGTTCGCCATTGATATTGTAGATGGTTCAGCATTGCCTTGCTAAGTTTCGCTGACTGTTCATGCACAAAATTGGTTTGCTGGTTAACCGATTTCATTCATACTGGTGATTGCTTTTCAGTGTCCACTAGGGCCATTGTCATTGGGACATTGTAAGGCATGTCGCCATTGCTGACATTAACGAGTTTGACTGTCGTGTAAGCGGAATAGGTCAACTTTGGCTTGTTCGTACTGTGCATAATTGATTCAAGCGATAATTGATCGGAATAGCTATACATGTGATGTGAATGTGTATATGAATGTGTTATGTCCCGACAAGAATAGTGAATGGTAATTTTGGAATCCATTTGTGGACCAATTACTACACGTATATTTTTATCGTATAATCGTTAAATAACTAAACTACACAGATTCATGTCTCTCTTTATTTTAATCTATGAACTGTTATTATACGATTTACCATTCTTGAATTATTCCCTGTCTATTAATCACTGTCTCCCTCACTCACAGATACTTTTGGCCGAATATTGTACAAATGTTACTTTCTATTTTATGGTACGCTGCGGTCTGTTTGATTGGTATATTAAGCGAGTATGTTTGAAATACGTGATTCATATTGTTGAAGCTTGGATTGGTGTTTTGGACTTAGTTGGCTGAGGTAGGCGGAAAGCAGGACCAATCAGAACTCTAGACTTCTCGCACGTGTTTCACGCGTCATTGGTCCGATCGATAAGTCACTGCTCTCTTATTGGCGGTCACAAGTTATAACAGAATGATAGGAATGGTCCACCAGGGTGTCTGTTTCTCCTGAAAACCGATGTAAAATTACCCTAACCCACAAGGGTATATTATATAACTATAAGTTTGAGTATACTACGACTGGTATATTTCTCTGTATAATTTTACAAACATAAGCAGAATTAAATAAAGTAATCTCATTGGGTAGATTTCTCATCATGTACGGACTCAACTGAAAAAGGATTCTTACATGGTGTAGGATTGATTTAGGTTCTTATGGGTGTGAGTTCTCCTAAATGGACAATGTGTAGATATGATATAAACCGTAGTTACCGATGGTCGTTTAACTAGGATTCCTTTATAAAAATCATGATTGTCCCATCGACAATGCGGCTGATTGATTTTCTTTTCAATGAGTGATGTATGCGAAACTCATTAAATAACAGATTAATTCTATATATTCACATGGTATAGTTGTTTGCTTGAATCTTCCCATTGATGTTTAGGAATGTAACTGATCAGTCTCTTATTGGCATATGTACATACTGTGTGTATGCCTCCATATTGCCTTAATTTACAAGCATTATAAGCAAATATAGATAGTGGATAGCAGTGGAATCCAGTTTGACGCGCTTTTCGTCCTATTTTGGACTCGTCAGCCGGATGTCCCTGCATCTCGGAGTTGTTGCTTACTCTGGGACTCACTTCAAACACCATCGCGTTATCCACTTAGCTACTGAGTCCTAATAGTCACTTATTTATGTAATGGGATGAAGTTTACACTCACTCGGTATTGTTGTTTACTTGAATCTTCTCATTGATGTTTAGCAGTGAAAATGATCAGTGTCTTATTGGTGGTATATATGCATACTGTGCCTATTAATTCGATATTTCCTTAATTTGCAAGCTTTATAAACAAAGATGCATAGTGTTTAGCAGTGAAATTCAGGACGTGCGTTTCGATTTATTTGAATAGTGTGATAGTGTTTGAAGTGAATAACACTGTGTTCGAGTCCCGGAGTCAAAATCAAAAGTCTGGGATTCAGTTACATCCAGCTGACAAGTCCAAAATAGAATGAATCGCGCGTCAAACCGAAGTTCACTGCTGACTACTATCTATATTTATTTATAATTCTGCAAATGTTTTATATTGTTATCAAATTTACAATGTTTCTATCTCAGAAATCTTATTATTATCAATATCACTTTTTTTTTGTATATTTTTGAATTGATTTAGTAAAACCGAATACTTTTAGAGAATCACGAAGTGTGGATAGTTCAGGATGTAAGTTTCATTATTTATTTGACAATATGGTTCATTTTTAAATATAAACGTACCCAATTTTTCTATCAAATTCAAATCTACAACTGTCCATCATAAGCATGGTGCAGAATAGATAATGTAACTTGTCTATACTATCTAAAAGTTGATTGCAGATACGGGAAGAGACCGATCTAACTAGCACCATAGAAGCTGGTGAATTGGTATATACATAGAATTAGTTAGTCATGACAACTTATCTTTGACCCGAACCATATAAATAGATAACAGTGATATGGTATAGCAATAAAGTTATATACATAAATCTTGTGTTCACACTAGATGATCCCGGTGATATACTTGTAAATTGTCTGAAGTGATCTTTTCAAAAGTAGTTTCTCACAGAAAATCCTCGTATAACATAACCAAGATTATCGGCCTGATTAACAAAATGATTCAGTTACACCTGATCTGTACCATGTTGGTAAATTCAACTTGATATTCATCATTTAGCTTCAATTCATAGTGCACAATCTCGCATATATATTGAAATAATGAAACTCTTTCAATATTCTGTTGTGACACGTATCAGAACATGTGGATAATCTAATTAGTGTACACTGATGATGAGTTTTCTACAATCAAAATGCTTTTGAAAGAGTTGTGATCGATGTAGTTTGAAAATAGAGTGCTAGGTTTGAAGCGGTTACGAGTTCACTTAATCTGCGAACGGAACAAAGACTCGGTAACTAAAGACCAATAAGCTATATATTCAATGCGTCCAAGCCCCGCTAACGAAAGGAAGAAGTCCAAGCTTGGGATGGGGAAGTATATATCCTCGAAAGCCAGAAGAACGAGCGATAAAAACAGGCACAAATCAATATATATAGCACAAAACTGTCCTTGGGGAGAGTTATAAAATAGCTTACTAAAAGACACAACGGACCAATAGCATTTAAGATACTTCCCAGTGGGACATACGACATGAGCTTTTGGCGCGAAAACAAGGGAATTCAAATATTCTAAATAAAATTACAAAATTAGGTCCTTTCCCAAGTGAGTTCTGGGGATCTAACGTCTCCAAAATAGAGATAAGTTTATCATTGATAACACTGAATACTCATCGATTTATATAATCCATTGACTGAGGTTAAGAACCAATACAAATGGATTACAACTTACTTGTTCAAGAGTAATGATTACGTAAACAATTTCAAATCTCCAAAAATCACCATGACCATTTAATAAACTAGTCTATGTTAGTCTATATGTTAAACGTAACTGAAGTAAACAGTCGGTTATCAATATTATTTTGATGATTTATTAGTTGTGAAAGATTCAAGGATTCGTCAATCTACAGAACAAACACAAAGTGATCAAAGTAAGTGAATTAGAAACAAACTATTTGATTAGTTATATATTTGTATAACAATTCACTTGTCACACTACCTATTCACAATTAAACATACATCTGTGGTATGTGCTACTGATGTTTAGAGATATAAGTAGTATGTAACACCAATTGAAAGTAAGATGCATGGCGGTAGAAGGTTAAGAAATTTGAAAACAAGGGAATGAGAGCAAAAAATGATTGATGTGAATATGAAGGAATGATTAAGTCTGCGATAACTGACGGATATTTTGCAAATGAAATATTTACTATATGGTTCTTAACCATCTACAGTCATCATCAAGGAGGTAGAAGTATCTATAAATAGTTGTCTACGCAAAATACTCAACATTCCTTGGTGGGATATCATCAGCAACAGCATTCTGTGGGGAGGAACAAACCAGATTTCAGCTAAACAGGAAATTAAGAAGAGGCGATGAATATGGATAAGACATACATTACTCAAATCATTAAACTACATCACGAGGTAAGTCCTAACTTGGAATCCTGAAGGGAAGAAGAAAAGAGGAAGGCCAAAGAACACATTACATCGAGAAACACAAGCAGATCTGAAAAGGATGAATAACATTTGGAAAGAGCTGAAAAGTATTGTCCAGGATAGGGTTGGATGAAGAGTGTTGGTGGGCGGCCTATTCTCCTTCACGAGGAATAACAGGCGTAAGTAAGTAAGTCTCAGATTTTACTAAGAGATTCTATAATTCTATGTTTAAATATGTTTGGTTGACCCCTGCTTGTGTTATTGTTTACTGCAGATCCGTTTTAAATCAAGTCAAAATCAGTATTATTGGAATAAAAATTATTATTACTTAGTTACCTACTCTGACTTACGCCTGTTACCTCTCAAGGAGTAGAATAGGTTGCTCATCAGTATTCTCCATCTAACTCTGTCATGGACATCTCCTTTCCAATTGCTTCCAGTTACTATTCATCCTTTTCATGCTTGCTTTTAGTTCCCGACGCAGTGTGTTCTTCGGCCTTCCTCCATTCCGTTTTTATTCAGGATTCTAAGATAGTGCTTACTTCATGATGCAGTTTTTGATCATTACTTCAAGATACGTCTTATCCACTTCCATCGTCTTTTCCTAATTTCCTCCCCAGTTGGAAGTTGGTTTATTTTCTCCCACAGTAGACTGTTACTGATGGTACTGTGTAAATAAAAATAGACTTCTCATTGTATCTTCCTTTAAAAATCTATCGATGTTATTTGTTTACTTAGAACAAAATGAAAAATTTATGTTTTTGATTGAGATCATGAAGCAATTGATGCTAAACCTGAAAGGACTGGACGGCCATTTCGCCTTATTGTGAGACTCCTCATCAGTGTGAATCCACGATCCCACTCGCGGGACCATGTGCTCATTAGTGACTAGCTTCATGAGGGAATTTTCGGAGTTCTAGTCAGAAGCCGTGTTCAGTCTGGATTTGAATTCCGCGAGCGAGATCGTGGATGCGCACTGCTGAGGAGTTCCACAATAGAATGAAAGGGCCATCCAATGCTTCCAGGTTTTCAATGGTAGTACCACATCAATCGTTTCATGATCTCAATCAAAAACTTAATAATCTCCACAACCTTTTATTGAAAAAAATTTATGGATAAAATTTTTTTTCTTCAACCATACACTATTCATCAGTTCAACGTGATTCAAGAACTCATCAACGTACAGAAGAAACAAAAACTGAAAAACGTAAGTTCTTTCTTTTGAAGACATATCTACGTAAACATGCATATCTGAATAGATGACCTACTAATTTAAAGACTGGATGACTTTGAATTATTGAACAATCAATAAGTTTTTAATCAAAGATGGAGTCCTGGAGTGAACATCAACGAGTCTATGATGCAGGTACATCCAGCTGACGAGTCCCAAATAGGACGAAACGTGCATCAAACTGGATTCAATTGCTAGTCACTATCCATCTTTACTTAAAATGCTTGTGACTTAAGGCTATATCGAGGCCGTTCGCACAGGACCCACATATGTCAATAAGAGATTGATCAATTCCAGTCCTAAATAACAATGGGAAGTTACAAATAAAACAACACCAAGTGAATAAATAAGTTTGTTGAATGTTTATCTTTAATATTGATCAAGGTTAACAAGAGAACTATTGAAAACCATGCATTACTGGTTATTGATTTCATTCTGATATATAGTACATTTTGTCACTGTATACCCTTTACATCATATATGATAAATTAGATATGTTTTTAGTTGTTAGAGTACAGTCCAATCATGCTGTACTTTAATATCTATACTATTGAAATCAGTGAATTGAGTTCATGTTTTATGGGAATCAGAAAGGTTTCATGTATAGTAGTGGATGACCTTAGAGCAGTAAGATAGATTATCTAAAATTGAAATCCCTTTCACTTTATTCTCTGAAGGTTGTACATTTGATCTATTCTACAGTCATAGGTTTAGATCATTTGGGGGGGGGACAAGTCAGTCATCAACACTAGAATAAGAAATCCTGATGATCTACATGAAATATAGATTTTATGATTAAAGTTGTTGACGTCCAGTTACTATATCTCAAACTGAAACCCAACTTTTAATCGATTCGGTCTTGAGTAACAGAGTGATATTTTTATATTCGTAAGTAATTAATCAGTAAAAATGTTTCATTCCTAAAGAAAGCTAATCATGATTTAAATAGTGTGATAGTAATCTTTTGAGCTATAACATTTGGTGATATGGATTCGAATTCCACAGAGAACATAAGTAACCTCTAGATTGTAGTCATGTCTTCCTGACAATTGTCCCCGTTATATCTAGAGCCTAGATTATTAATATACTGCGTACCACTTGAGCACTCGAACGCTAGAACCCACCTAAGTCGCAAATGAGAAGACAAAAGACAAGTAAAAAGAAATGTCATTCCAAACAGTGTTAATTATGGTACAAAACTGTCAAGTATTTATAGTTTTTAATAAGAACGAAATCATCATTATAGTCCTCTAATCCGCATATATGGGGGTTATTATCATTTGTCCAATAGGAAAGCTACATGTAGGGATTCTGGAATATTCTCAAAAAAGACGACTGGATGGAATATCTTCGGCTCTTTCTGAGCTTCTTAGAGATTCCTCAAGTTCACCAGTGGGCCTTCCTCACACTTCTCCTCTTTAAAGTCTGGTGTGTAAGACTTTTTCATCGGGTCCACCTGAAACTTGGTTACCACATTCTTCTTGCGGTCCATCACTCTCGAACGTGTTGCCGCTTTGCCTTTCAGTCTTTTCACTCCTCTACATTCGTTCCCTTTAGGGCTTTCTCGAAGTGAATCCAAGAGCAATTGAAACGGGAGTTAGCATTGTGTGATCAATATTCTACCATCCCCTTGAATTTGATTTATGCATCTTATATACGTTCCGACATTTGAATGATTTAGTTGACTTCCTTCAGAATAACACCGTAAACCAAATAGATGTATTTTTATACAGACGATTATTTATTTATTTAAACACATAAACATTGGTACAATCAGGTACTGAATAGAAATGCGCCACATAAATCATTCGATTTGTGTAAGGTTTGGGATACTGCCCGGCTGCCCAAATCAAAACAGGTGATTGTCTTCGAGGGCCACACCCAGAGCGTTCGACCTAAAGGTCTGATCCATAAGATAGTATAGCATTGTAAGGAGATACAGTCTCATAGTAGCCGGTTCATATGCCATTTGGTTCTTCAGGAATTGCAGACCATGTGCACCATTGGTTTAGAATCACGATTTCCCAACTCCCGTAAGTGGACTCTCCATGTCCAACAACCTGGTTAAATCACCGGACATTCGCTTTTCATTCTATCAGTTTCGTAAAGAACACCCATGGTACCAGAAGGCAGTGAGTAGAACTTTCCTTGGAATGGTTGCATGCACGTGGCCATGTGAGAGTATTTTGAGAGGAATAGTTGACTCTCTGCTTCACTCTCGGTCGTACCAGGGCATTTGCGGGCGGTGATTTACATGTTACTCAAAGATTAGTTACTATGGGAATTTCTTTTTCGAAATAAACTTTTAATTGTCAGTTTTTTCTTTCTTTATCATCTCGATTGAGTTTGATTCTCATTTTCAGATATTGAAGAAGAGTTAAATTATCAATGTTCTTCAACGAAAGGTAAACTATTCTTCTTTTCTCTTTTTAAAAAAGATAAAGAATGTTTAATTGATTGATTTAACCTCATTTTGAACACCTTAGTAACTAGATAGGATGATTCAATATTGACAAGAATATTTCCTGTCACAAATGTCTATCATTCAGATTTAATTTAAAAAGAGTACTCGTTTGAAGTGGATTGAGAGAAGTGTGAACCGGAGGGGGGGATTAGATTTTAGTAAATGAAGTCTTTAACTACACATTTATTATGTAAATATACAATATAATAATGAAAGCAATGTTAAAGAATGATATAAATTATATTCAAATCTAGTGTGATGTAAGCTACTTATATCGACAAATATAAGTAATATGTAACACCAGTCAAGAATGGAATGCCTTGAAGAAGAGAATCGGGAAGATTGAATAGGAGAGAATGGGAACACAGAATGATTGGTATGAAAATGAGGGGACAATAAAGTCTGAGATAACCACATATATTGAAATTACGAAGTTTGTTCCGGTATTGGTCTGTTTCTAATCTATAGTGGTAAAGCTGCCCATCTTCCTTTAGAGTTCATTAAAATTGTCAATAACGTCAGTTTATGATGAAAATTACATACATAAAGTAAATGCATATTAGGTGAAGCATCAGTGTGTGTTAACTGAAAGGCGCAAAAAACTGTGTATGAGTTTAAACAAATTAAAAGACATCATCAGCCCAAATTTCAGGAAGAAGTGAAATGTTAGAATTTCTTTACTTCTACCTGAAATTTAGGCTGATGATGTCGTTCAGAAGAACGATGAAAGCTCCACAATCAAACCATCCAGTTCAGAAGACAATCTGCTATCAAAGTTGTCCACCTGAGCTACAAATCTTCCCCAGAATCTTAAGAATTACTCCTTCACCACACACACACACACACACTGATAGAACTATATATATATTAACAGTTATATAATATACCCTTGTGGGCTAGAGTAATTTTACATTGGTTTTCAGGAGAACCATACACCATCCGGACCTTCACGTGACAACCCAAACAGTACAGCTCAACCCCGTTTAGCAGGAGAACCAGAAACCATATAGGTCTTAGCGCTACAATCTGAATAGTACAGCTCAATCCTGTGGTGCAACTACACAGGTATCAAGCACCCTGGTGGACCATTCGCACCATTCATATACACATTCACACCACATTTATAGTTATTCCGATCAATGATCGTGTGAATCATTTATGCACAGTACTAACAGGCCAAAGTTGACCTATTCCACTTACACGACAGTCAAACTCGTTAATGTCAGCAATGGCGACATGCCTTACAATGTCCCAATGACAATGGCCCTAGTGGACACTGAAAAGCAACCACCAGTATGAATGAAATCGGTTAACCAGCAAACCAATTTTTTGCATGAACAGTTAGCAAAACTTGCCAAAGTAATGCCGAATCATCCACAGTACCGATGTCGAACCTCCAGTCTCATATGAGACCTTCAGCTCTACATAGCCATATAGCTTACACTATTGAATAATTCATTCCATACTGGAATGATGCAAATGTTAAGTGATATTTTTGACGTTGTACAATTGTCCATGATCAAATCTGATTAGTATCTATTGCTTATCAACTATTTTTAATCATGAAATAATCCTAATAATTACAACTTATAATTGTTCTATTTTCAGTCAGTTATATTGATTTATGTAAACATGGTATATTTGACTTAGTTCTGTTCAATTTCTTTTTATCAGTTAGTCAGTCAGTAACAACTTAGAACTTCGTACGTACGTACGTACATCAGCTCAAGTTGCCACACCACGTTGATCATTGATCATTCATTCTGAATGCATGATTTGAATTATTATTTTTTTACCGGAATGAGGTCGATAACCCTGTGCCCAATCGTCTTACGTTATCTTACCTTAAAAGCAGCAGTAGCTCCAGAGGGGCTCCATGGCGAAGTTATCCTAAATGCATGTATACTTTTATTATCAGATAGTATTATCAATATAGTGTATGTTGAATGGTTTGGGTCTTGTATGATTGTACTTATTTTATTGCATGTTTATGCATTGAATGTACATCACTAAATGAATGATTCCAATCGGAAGTAGTTAAAAAGAGTCTAGTGACTTTTATTGTCAGTTCTGTGAACTTATCAGAATTCTGTTTAGTCGTTTTACTTTTTATTTCTTTCTCATAATGTAAATTTTTTGAATGCTGAATTCATGAGTCGATTGAAGCTTGACCACCATGAAAACCTGGAAGCATTGGACGGTCGTTTTGTCCTACTATAAGACTTTTCAGCTGTGCGCATACACGATCCTTCATGCGAGGTTTGAATCCAGGATCTTCTCTCTGTTACTTCTCATAGAGGACGACAGGCCATCCATCAACATTCTCCAACCAAATCTGTCATAGATGTATCAGTTCCAATTCTTTCTAGTTGTTATTCATCCTTTTCTTGACTGCTTCTAATTCTCGACGTAGTGTGTTCTTTGGCCTTCTTCTTCGTTGTTTCCATTCAGGATTTCAAGTTAACGCTTGCAACGTGATGCAGTTTCTGATGATTTCCCCAATATATATCTTATCCACATCCATCATCTTTTCCTAATTTTCAATTCAACTGAAAGTTGACTTGTTCACTTCCACAGTAGGCTGTTGTTGATGGTACCAGATCAATGGATATTGAGTATCTTGTATAGACAATTGTTTATAAATACTTGTACCCTTTTGACGATAGTTATAGTAGTAGTTCTCGAAGTTTCGACTCCGTACAATAAAACTACCAGTGTTGACGCTCGTATTGAAGATTGTGACATTCATATTAGTTGATAGACATTTGTTCTGAGTTCCATATGCCCATACATTGTATCCCTTTTTCCTTCATATCTTCATCCAATCCATCTTGTTCATTGATAATGCTACCCAAATATATGAAAACTACCATCACTTTCAAAGTTTCTCTATCAAGTATAATTCAGTTGATGATCACCATATTGTATTTGTAAACATCATTGAATAAACCAGTTAATAGGAATATTTCAAAACTTCAAAGAGTATTGAAATTCTTTCTTTAAAATGGAATGATTCAATGTTGAATAACAATAATAGTAATAATAATAACATCATATGATTACTATATATGAATGATTCTACTTCATAGATTCAACAAATAGGTATTTGTAGTGTAGTTAAGTGTGCTTCATTCATCATATATTGTTGTATACCTATGATAAGGTATGTATATACTACTGATATACTACTGATATATTTTATATAGTTTCTGTATATAAACTACTTTTCAATTACAAATGTATTTCTTTTGTTTTCTAAGAAAATTGATGTAAAGCTGACAGTTAATCATATGATTCGAGTAGCGGATAGAGAGAGAGGGAGGGGGGAAAGTAAAAGAAAGAGAGAGAGAGGGTGGTAGTAAAAGAAAAAGAGAGATGCACATAGTAAAAATACAACCCATTTCATATTTGATATATTACTTACTTAATTACGCCTGTTACTCCTCGTGAAGGAGCATAGGCCGATCACCAGCATTCTCCATTCAACCCTGTCCTCAACAGCTTCTTCCAGTTCCTATTTATCCTTTTCACATGTGATTATATTTCCCGATGTAATGTGTTATTTGAACTTTCTCTTTTCAGTTTCCCTTCAGGATTCCAAGTTAGGAATTGCCTCGTGATGTAGTTTGATGATTTGTTTAATTTATGGCCTATTCATTTCCATCGTCTTTTCCTAATTTCTTCTTCAGCTAGAAACTGGTTTGTTCCCTTCTAAAGAAGGCTGCTGCTCATGATATCCCACCAAGGAATGTTGAGTATTTTGCGTAGACAGCTATTTATAAACACTTGTACCTTCTTGATGATTGTTGTAGTAGTTCTTTATGCTTCAGCTCCGTACAGTAGAACTGCCTTGACGTTCGTATTAAATATCCTCACTTTGATATTGGTTGAAAGTTGTTTTGAGTCCCATACGTTCTTCAGTTGTAGGAATGCGGCCCCTGCTTTGCCAATCCTCTCCTTTACGTCTGTATCTGAACCTCCTTGTTCATCGATGATGCTTCCCGCGTATGTGAAGGATTCTACATCTTCCAGAGTTTCGCCATCAAGAGTGATTGGACTGTTGTATTGGAGGACCTTGGTTTTCTTCTTGTTTATGTTGAGGCCTACTGATGTAGAGACTGCTGTACACTATATTTGATATATCTATCATCTTTTTTTAAACATTCATATTACATCATAACAATTATTTAGTGTAATATGAATACAATGATCAAAACATTATTACCGATCTCCTTTGTTCTGAGTGTAAAAACGAAATCAGTTTTCTGTCAGTAATGAACAGTTTCATTGTTCTTTTTACAAGATTTTTAAATGAAATAGACGAAACGTTCATTCTTCAGAACTACTCATTTAAGAACAAATAACAATTCTATAATTATATCATTCATTGATGTTCTTGAAATCTTTCGAATTTCTTCACAACATTCTGCTATACTATTCTGTTAAATTTGAAGTTTTAGTGAAATAACAAAGTCGGTTCAGTGGTGTAGAGGTTCAGCGTTCGCGCGCGATACTGATAAGTCCTGGGTTCAGATCTTGTCAGGCAGGATGATGGATGCGCATTGTTGATGAGGATGAAACGGCTGTCTAGTGCTTCCAGGTTTTCCATGGTGGTCTAGCTTCACTTGATTCATGAATTCAGTTATGAAACAAAGTTTACATTGAATTCCTTTATATCATACTGTTCTAATGACGATGTTGTTGTTTTTATCTTCATTGTCTTTCTTTAAAAGTTCAACCTCAAAGAACATCAAGTCAGATGAATATTAGTGGACCTAGTACAATGACTAAAACTGCATGGTTGTCAGGTATGTAGAAATTATTCACTTTTAATTTATTAGATTTTACAAAAAGTTTAAACTTAGAATTAATTTAACTTAGACAACTGTTGAAAACTTTGAAGCACTGGATGGTTATTTCGTCCTATTATGGGAATTGTCATCAGTGCAAATCCATTATTTCGTAGTGAGAAGTCAAACCAAGTGCCCTTGGTTTCATGCGCGAACACTTAACTTTTAGCCTACTCAGTCGGAATTCAATGGTGTTACTGACGAAATCTTTGAACGAATTCAAAAAGCTCGTTTGACTTTTGCCAACTCACGTCATCATCTATGGCGAAGGCAAGATATTCATCTATCAATTAAGGGACGAGTATACTGTGCAACAGTTTGTTCTGTTCCACTTTACGGCTAAGAAATGTGGCCAATTAGGGTAAAAGATAATTGTGAGGTAATACTGTTTGATCACAGATGTCTTAGAAATATTGCCCGGATCTGCTGGGATCATCGGGAAAGTAATAATGAGGTTCGGACGCAGGGTATTAGGGAATGATGATGGTAGATCATTTGATGAGGTTGTGAATCTTCATCGACTGAGATGGTTGGGTCACGTGCTGCGTATGCCTGAACATCGATCGTCACGACGCGCAATGCTGACTAGTGTTCGAGATGGATTGACTAAAATTAGGGGCAGCCAAACCAAAACATTGCGTCAGTCCTTGAGACCACTAAATTCTGGTCTGAACCGTGTTGGTAGATGCAACCTCCTTAGTTGCGGTAAGCGCGTCTGTCGTAATCGATGGTTAGAGACTTTGGATGACATGGCTCAGAATCGATCACAATGGTGTAGGTGTATGTACTCTCTGTCTTCCCTTAAACACTGAGATTAAAATCGCTTCATATCTTTCTTTCTATCAACTAATTCTTTCTTCCTGCACTATATCCTCATGTGTAACCTTTCTTTTATATATTGCCACTTCTTAATTAACTACTTCTATGAATTTGATGTTCATCCTGTGCTAATGAGATGTGGGAACTTCGACCGATGCATAAATGTTGCTGGTCCTACGTTATAGCTAACTGACTAACTGACAGTCCATGACATTGGGTGATCATCTTTTATCACCTTCAGTGAATGACTATCTCATACCCAACCAATTTAGTTTCATCTAGCACAGATTTAAAATAAACAATTAGACCCTTTTGTAAACTTTGATAGAGCAATAAGATAAAACAATTAACCTACAAATTATGGTCTGTTTGTGCTTTACTTTTCAAAACATCTATGAAAACGAATAAAGGTTACATAAATCAAAGGTCAAATAAACATAAAATGATTATGGTAAACAAAGATAAGGGAAAAACAACGAATACAATATAGAAAGTTCCTATAACATCATAGATCATAGTATAGCTTAAGGATTACTATGGTTAGATTGTCTAGCTTCTATGAACCTAAGGACTCATTCTTAACAATTCGATTAATATGGTCGTCTACCTCATAGATTGATCAAAGTATATGACATTAACTGATTCTGAAGTTATCTAGCTATATGTTTTTCAAAGTTCTTGGTTTCATTGTTTCATTACTCCTCTATGTGTATGTGTCCACATGAACATTTATTTATTTATTTATTTAAACACATAAACATTGGTATAAGGAGGCACCAAACACATATGCGCCACACAAATCTCATTTGATTTGTGTGAGGGCTGTGATACTGCCTGAGTGCCCAGACCGAAACAGGTGGTTTTCTTAGGGGGCCACACCCCGAGCCTTTGACCTAAAGGTCTAACCCACAAGGCAGTGGAGCATCGTGAGGAGATGCAGTCCTATGGTAGCCAGTGACCAACGATTGATTCATACGCCATTTGTTTATTGAGGATACTGGAGCCTATGTGCACCATTGGTTTGGAATTCGGTCAAAGCTCCAGACATTCGCTTTTCGTCCCCTCAATTTCGTAAACAACACCCATAGTGCGAAAAGGCAGTGAGTAGGACTTCTCTGGTAGAGGCTGTATACTCGTGGCCGTATGAGAGCAATTCAAAAGAGAGGGCGGTCCCACCCCACACTCGGCCGTACCAGGGCATTTGGGGGCACATGAACATGAGAATTGGTAAATTCAACGGGATGTGACGTAATCTGTTATGTAATGTCTAGGCCTATATGAAATCATAGGTTTAACAGCATAGAATGTTTTCTTAATGTCTACTTTTAGTCTCTTTCTCAAACTTATGATATTTGACTCTTTCTTTAATGTTATTATAAGATATATATCCTTTACTTCGTAACAGAATCCAAGAGTCTTCTTGTTAGCTTACTTTTACACCAATTTATAAACTACAGCGAATAATCTTTTCGGTTAACAGTTTTGTCAACTCCTCAAGTAGATTTGTAGTGTATATTCGTTGAGTTCTGTTGTATAGACAATTTACCAAATGTCGTTTATGCTGTAAGGGATAGAAACTGTGGAAGTTCAAATATTTCCAAGCCCAGGTTGACATCCTATGAACGGATCGTTTCACAGTTCCATCCTTTCTTCGTCTAAAATTATGTTTAAAAAAGGCAGTCGATTATTGTTTTCTTCGTTATAAGCAGGAGGTATCTCATTTTATACATTATCGAATTTATCTAATAACCGAGATACGTGTAACTCCTTATTACATATGACTAATATATCAGTCATTAGCCTCCTATACAGAGTTACTTCTCTGAACAGCTTACTTGTCTTACTTTCAACAATGTGGCGTATGTACATCAACAAAGAGAAGTACGACACTTCGTTACCAACAGACATTCGTATACTTATCACGAAATAAACGCTTCTTGACGGAAATGGCTGGGACATTTATCGATATCGAGTCAATATCTATTAAAACATGAAATACTACTTAGCTTGAAATTAGTTTGTAAAACAGATATTACGGCGGCTTATCCATGGGTTCCATAAAGTCTATTACTATTGGATTAATCTGTTTCTGTGGATATGATTAAGTGAGGAAGTTTCAAAGGGTGTGAAACTGTAATTAGCTTATTCAAAATCGATTTCCTTAATGTAGATACATCAGTTTTCTATCTTGCTCTAAATCTTATGTATACGATTATTTGATTACTACTGTTGTGCGTTTAGAAGACTGTTAAATTTGATGCTTTACATAACTCAATAACTTTGATGAAACAACTGTTAAAAACTAGGCACAGCTGGCTCATATTGAAAACTTCACAGTAGTGCGTATCCACAACTAGACGATAGGGACCAAACACGGAACATTCAAGTCTCTAGACGACCTTTAGTCAATCTCAAATATTATATATCCGTCTTGTTAATACCAGCCACTGTTACTCAATTATAAATATTTGTCACTTATCTCATCAAATAATAAAAAACTTGTAAATAGTCTATATTGTAAAGTAGGTTTCTTCAAGAGTCAATTTATTAACATATATAGCCTATGGATAAGCTTTGAATAATAATGACAATCGGGTCTGTTGTGACATAGTAACTCACTGAATACAATGGTGAACGATGGTGCAATTTCGTGGATTGGTTGAAGTTAAACAATAACACCGTTGGATGCCGATTAGTTCAGTGGTTTAGTGGTTAATCGTTCGCGTGCTAGATCGATAGGTCCTGAATTCTAATCTCACGATATGGGATCGCGAATGCGCACTGCTGTGGGTAGTCCCACAATAACCCATTATTACATCATATATGTTTGTTTGTTTTTTTTCGAAAAATTTATTTAGAAACCAATTTAAGGAATAGTTCAACATGCAAACAACCACCAATGTATTCAACTTATTCAGCTCATAAAGAAAATATGAGACGAATGCAAGAACAAAGAAGAACAACAGAAGATTGGGTAAGTTTAATAGGTCCCATTCTTCTTTCTTTGAAGATATGATATCTGATCATTTTTGTACAAAACGAATTCATTAATGAATGATCAATTGTAGTTTGAATAATTTAGGATCATACATTCATATTGTGGTGTGTGCTACTTATAATGACATAAGTAGTATATGATGTTATTTGTAAACAGATGGTCTGGAGGCAGAAAGACAAGAGGATCGAACAGAAAAGAATGGAAACAGGATGCAATTTGTATGAAAATGCAAGAACAATCAAGTCTGAGTCATTATGAGACAATTGATGGGCATTTTGCAAATTAAGCATTCACTACATGATTGTTAGATTTCATTAACAAGTCCTGTAATTTTGTGCTCAAATACATTCCATTGTCCCCCCTGTGTTTTGTTCACTACAGTGTCTCATAGATGATATCAGTTTCTTCAGAATAATAAGCGATTCCCCTTTTATCTAACCAATATCAAATAAAATATGAGTTTCGTCTCGAACTTTGTATTGATTATTGAGAAATCTTCTAATTATCAGAATGGGTTTTGTGGAGAATTTAAGAAATTTCACAGGTTTAAATCATGAGTCAGTTGAAGCTAGACCACCATTGAAAACCTGGAAGCACTGGACGGCCGTTTCGTCCTGGTATGGGACTACTCAGCAGTGTGCATCCACGATCCCGCTTCCACGTTTTCAATGGTGGTCTAGCTTCAACTGACTCATGATTTAAACCTGTGAAATCTTCTAATATCTAATCATCTTAACCCTCAGTCAATAGAAGTGATTGGACTGATTAAAGTAGTAAAGAAAGTTTCTGACACAGTTTATATGACTTAACAAACTTCTATCTTAATGTCAAATTCACAATTGAACAAAATTTGTATGTTTGTTTTTAGATGCGAAATAGTGTAAGTATAATTATGAGTTATGTAATATTTTTTGATATTTTGATTTCGAGTAGAGACACGGTTATCCTTCGTGAAGGAGTATAGGTCACTAACTGGTACTCTCTATCGAATCCTGTTTTAGGAAATTGTTTTCAGTTGTTTACGAATTGCTATTCATCCATTTCATGTCTGTTTCCAATTCATGATATAGTATGTTCTTCAGCACACCTCTATTCTGTTCCCTGTTATAACTTGCAACCGCCAATTAGGGAGCAGCGAATTATCGATCGGACCACGGACGCGTAAAACACGTACGAGCAGCCTAGAGTTCTGATTGGTCCTGCTTTCCACCTAACCTAGTCAGTTAAGTCCAGAACACCAGTCGCAGCCTCTGTAATATGAATCCTTATATTTCAAATATGATGAGTTTATATACCAATCAAACAGACTACAACGTACCAATAAAATATGAAACAACATTTGTACAAGACTTAGTCAAATGTGGTTGTGAATGTGGGAGATAGTAATTGATAGACTGGATATAACTCAAGAATGGTAAATCGTATAATAATAGTTCATAGGTCACAATAAAGCTTATAATAAGAGGAATATGAATATACATAGTTTAGTAACTTAATAATTATACAATAGAAATATACGTTTAGTATTGGACCATCGATAGATCCCAAAAGTTACCATTCATTATTCTTATCAGGACGTAACATTCCCATTCAAGAATCCAAATTAGCGATTGCCTAGTGATACAGTTTGATGATTACCGTACGGTACGAAGATCTAATCTAAACAGACCATCTTAAAGAATAGTATAAGGCATATAACAACTGTTTATGATGAAATGGAATAACCGTTTCATAACTGAGCTTTATGTTCTCCTCACTGTGTTTTCCTTTTTTCTAATCAAAAGCATATTACTTGAAGAATTTGATTATTTTCTGAGTACTGAGTGACGTTTTGATGAAGGTTCCCCATATAAATCGAAAAAATACAAAAAATTACTGAATACTAGAAAGTATAAGATTTCCGAAGCACTACTTTACAACTCAGCTACGATCTCATACATAGTCAAAAGTATAGAAACTTTAGGCCCCCAAATGCTTTGGTACGAACGAGAATGGGGAGAGTCCGCTCTCCCTCTCCAAATGCTCTCAAATGACCACGTGCATACAACTATTTCAAGGGAAGTCCTACTGACTGCCTTCTTGCACCATGGGTGTTGTTTACGGAATTACTGGGAAGAAAAGCGAATGTCCAGCTCTTTAACCGGGTTGGTGGCCACGGAGAGTCCACCTATGAGAGTTGGAAAACCCTCACTTCAAACCAATGGTGCACATGGGCTCCAGTACCTTGAGGGAACAAATGGTGTATGAACCAATTGTTGATCATCGGCTATCACGGGAATGCATCTGTTTACGATGCTCCACTGACTTGTGGATCAGACCATCAGGTCGAAGGCTCCGGGTGTGGCCCCCCCCAAGAAACCACCTGATTCGGTTTAGGCACCCAGGTAGTATCACAGCCCTCACACATCAAATGAGATTTGTGTGGCGCATATCTATTTGGTGCCTCCTTGTATCAATATCTATGTGTTAAACTAAATAAATAAATAGAAACTTTAGACTTTAAAATAAGTGCAATACTACTTTTGTTTCTTGTTGTAGAGAGCTCAGTGTGAGCAGTGGGGTAGAATCGTGATTGCTCACTGCTGAAGAGTCACATAATAGGATGAACCCTTTTATCCAATTCATCCCTAACTCTTCCGATTAAAATCATTCTGTGATAGATATCATCATTTTTTTCTGTTCGTAGGGCTATAATCCAATAATTATCAGTATGGGGATTTATGAAGATTGTAGTACTTTCACAGTCAATCTAGCTTGATGTAGCTTAGATCTATTTAGATCTACCTGTGAATAAGCCAAAGATTTCGTAATAGTCATAATTCACGGTGAAGTTATTTTCAACTTTCTGTTAGTGTGTTGCAGTTCAGTATACAAGATAAAAGACCTACTTAATTTCGCGTGTTACTCATCGTGATGGAGCACCAGCATTCCCCATCAAACCCTATCCTCAACAATCCTTTCCAGTTCTTTCTAGCTTTTATTCATCCTTTTCATATATAATTCTATTTCCTGATGTAATGTGTTCTCTGACTTTCCTCTTTTCCGCCCCCTTCAGGATTCCAAGTTAGCACTTGCCTCTTAATGCAGTTTGATGATTTGTGTAATGTATATCCTATCGATTTTCATCGTCTTTTCCTAATTTCTTGTTCACCTTGAAGTTGACTTGTCCTCTCCCACAGTAGACAAAAGACGCTAACATAATCAATGGTTAGGCACTGTAGTGAAATCTTTGATGAAAATTCCAAATACATTAAATAAGTGATATACCGATCGATAGTTCTGAACATGTTCCATTTGAAGAATATGAAGGTTGTCGGGGATAACTTCAAAAGAGATATAACCTAAGAGTTATCAAGATTTACTGTAAATAAATTAGATTTCTGTATATGATAATGATCATCATTCATTATGTTTATTAAATATGATTTTTTGTATAATGAATATTTTAGCAAGCTTCAAATAGACAATTACATGATTCCAGATCAGTGGGTAGTCGAGCTGTTTTAGAAGAAATGGAAACGATTACATTACAACCAATTGGTCGTGGTGTACACGACTTGGAACCACCAACTGGTTCTATAGCTAGATCAGTTCGTGCTACAACACCAAGTGGTTAGTTTTAATAATATAATGTTTATTGTTTCTTCTTTATTATTTAGATGGAATTTCATATATTATGAAAGTATGACTATGGAATAAGTACTATTATTAAGTTGAATTTCTTAAATCTATAAAACAGGTCATACAAAGTAATGGTGTTCGAAGCGAACGGTACTGGGTACGAGTCCCAGAGTGAACATTAACAATTCTGGGATGTGTAGTTACACCTAACCGATGAGTCCCAAATAGGATGAAATGTGTTTCCTGGATTTCACTGCTAGTCACTATTCATCTTTGCTTAGAATAGTTATGACAATCAGTATCGTCTAAACAGTTTGTAAAAGGGTCAACTTTTGTGAGAATAGGAATAGGTACATAATGTTATGTATGTGCTTCGTATGAAACCTTCATTATTGTATTACGTGGTTTATTAAATTCCCTATTGTCCTATCATTCATTGATGTGTATGATGACTCTTCATCGAAATCTCCGTGGCTACTACCGATTGAATGGTTTAGTGAAGTTGTTGAATTGGTTTCGTTGTAGTGGCTTTGTCACTCGACTTATGCTAAGAAGATGACCTAATTTGACTATTTAGGTGAAGTAAAAGTTGTAACAAGGTTTCTGTAGATGAACCTGTGGAAGGATCACTATCATGACCCAAAAATATATAATGAAGCATGCATCTGGCTTCGTGCTGGACTGTATGTACCCTGGCCTAATGGTATTTACCCTAGGCTTCAGCGAACTCTTTATGGTACTTGTGTTTAATACTCTTATAATATTCATATCACTAATAGTACATAATTAACAAAATAAGTATCAAGGAAGTGACAGCCTTCTTGACTATCATTTTTGATGGAGTTTTATTCTCTGAGCTGGATAGTTTGGTTATGGAACTTTCATCGTTCTTCTAGACGACATCATCAGCAGCATAAACTTCAGGTACACTTTTAATAAGATGTTTACATGAATATCATCAGTCCTATAACTGATTTAAAGGAAGAAAACGGTTATATATACATTACTTATGGAATAAAATTCAGTAGTGTTTGTAAAGGATGCAGCAGCCGTAATCCTTTAAAACTATTTGATCAATTTCTAAGAATCTAAGAATCATATAATAAATAACTTATAATGCACTATACATTGAATTGGACCATCACAATGTATAGTAATGTTTCTTGAAGCTTGTAGATCATCATACTTACATGATATTCCGTATATATTTAGTCTTTTCTGTATATAAACTGACCTTCATAATGTATCTTCCATATTTCCGAAATCCATTTGGAGTTGAAGTATCAAAGATGATAGAAGTTTAGGAAACGGTTACTATATCAGTATCTAAAGACTTCTATCTAATAACAGTGGTATTCATTAAGGAATTGCAAATATGTTAATATAGTTATTAATGATAAATACTTCATAACAAATACATTATATAACGGTTCAATGATCAGAGTATATCGACATTTACCAACCAATTATTGATGTATATTGACGACGGAAGTCTGAAAGATGTAGAATCCTTCACATACCTGAGAAGCATCATCGATGAACAAGGAGGTTCAGATGCTGACATAAAGGCGAGGATTGGCAAAGCAGGAGCCGCATTCCTACAACTGAAGAACGTATGGAACTCAAAACAACTTTCAACCAATATCAAAGTGAGATTCTTCAATACCAACGTCAAGGCAGTTCTACTGTATGGAGCTGAAACTTGGAGAACTATAACAACCACAATCAAGAAAGTACAAGTAGTTATAAATAGTTGTCTACGCAAGATACTCAACATCCATTGGCCGGATACCATCAGCAACAGCCGACAGTGGGAGAGAACAAATCAACCTATAGCTGAAGAAGAAATTAGGAAAAGACGATGGAAATGAATAGGACATACATAACACAAATCATCAAACTACATCATGAGGCAAGTACTAACTTGGAATTCTGAAGGAAAATAGAAAAGAGGAAGTTCAAAGAACACATTACATCGAGAAATAGAATTATATATGAAAAGGATGTATAAAAGCTGGAAGGAACTGCAAAGGATTGTTAAGGATAGGGTTTGATGGAGAATGCTGATGAGCGGCCTACGCTCCTTCACGTGGAATAACAGGCGTAAGTAAGTAAGTAAGCATTAATGTTCAAAAGAAAAACGACGAGTAATTCTATATCGAATCGTTCTACTACTCTTCTATAAATCAATCACCTTTCTTTCAGGTTTATCAACATTTCCAACATTCTCTAATCGACCTCATTCATCCGCTGGAAGAATAGATCTATCAATATCAGGAATAAAACGATCTATTAGTAAAGATTATTATAGTCCAATAAGAATGCAACGTAGTACTATTGATATACCATATAGTCAAACTACACAAGCATTATTAAGTCCATCTATCAATCGACGTTTAGTTGGTTTTACTAATACTGGTCATTCATCAAGAATTTCAAGTATCAATAAAACTGTACTACCTATCATCCATCATCATGATCATTATCCTCATCATAATCATCTAGTGTATAATAGTAGTCATGGTAATAATAATAATAATAATAAATGGAATTCTATGAATCATCAATCATTGGAATTATTAAATCAAACCTCTATGAATAGAAATTCATATGCCAGGCAAACTCTTACACAAAATATTCAAGAAATGACACAGAAACAACGATTATTATTATCATCATCTAATCAACAATATTATCCAATATCTAGTCATAATAATAAGTTAGGTAAATGAAATCTATCGCTTCTAACAATTCGCTTCTTATCACTAATAACAACGCAATCATCTTATAAAGCTTATTTATTATTAATAATATAGCGCAAATTATGGTATCCTATTGATGCTAATCCACTACAACCCTATTGTGATGATGATGATGACATAATCATTTAGATGTTCCTTGTTTTTATTGATTCATCTTAACCCAAATCTATCATTTGAGTGATGTTCTGTTTCTGTTTATCCTTTTTTTATATCCAAGGGTTCATTTCATTCTGTATGGATAATGACATGAATATCACACGAACTAGATCAATGATTGATATTAGTGTTTAGTGTATAACAGTTCATTCCATTTGTAACATAGATGATACATATATATGTCAATATATAAATTGATTGTTCACTAGGGAAGGATCAATATCATATATGTCAAATTCTACTCAGTGTAGATCCAATCCTACAAGAGGTCATTCATGGCCTGATAATATCATTGACTGTAAAACTGGAAGATATGAAATCGAAACTGTCAGAGAGTATCAGTTTTCTTAAGATTACAGGTACATCTTTCTGATAAGCGCGAAATAGTATGAAACCTAAGTCCAGGATTACTTGTTGACTTCCTCCAACCACTATTCTTAGAAGTTTAACATATTTTTAAACTTTATGGCTCTCGAATATTCATTGTAAAGGGATAAGACATGTATCAGTGATTAACATTTCGTCAAAGATATAGTTAAGTGAAAGTACTGAGTGAGGAGTACTTGAATTAAACTTGAGAGCATAAAATACATGGTGGTTTGGTGTTATAATGACTGTTTACAAAGTGAATTCTTTGAAACATATATACTACTTATAAGAACCCATCACTTACTCGAACCCACTATATAATGGCTAGAATGTAACTGAACTAAAATTAAACTAATGGGATTCCTAGTAATAGTTTAGTAAAATGTAAATACATCATTTGCCTATTTTCCTCGAATTGTCTCATACAAGCTTCATTATTCCTTCATTCATGTTATTATCTTGATTGCTTTTAGTTTCTTCTTTCCTCTTTTTATGACAATCATCTCAACCGTATGATCTCAGACATTCCACTACTGAACACTGTTACATACTACTTATGTTTGCAAACATAAGTAGCATACATCAAAATACCATAATCCCGGTCATTCATTTAATAGTCATAACAGTTCTAGAATATACAAAACTTTTCGATCCATTTAATTCTATCGCTTATTTGAGATATTACTATTGTACTTAAAAAGTAGTAACTTACTTCATCAAGAAATATTTTATCAATCTCTATATATCTATATTACTTACTTACGCCTGTTACCCGCAATGGAGCATAGACCGCGGAACAGCATTCTCCAACTCACTCTTTCCTATACCTTCCTTTCTAGTTCTATCCAAATGACGAGAAGAGAGTGAAAAGAAATGACGCGCAGTAGAGAAGGCATATGTGACTTCAAAAGAATGGTCTGTTCAGAAGCTAGAATAAGTTATATGGGCTTAACATAGTAACCGACACTACAGATTCATTGCATATTTATAAAATACAATAGAATTACGGGCAACGATCAATCAATCAATCAAATCTTAAGTCAGTAGAACAAGCTGGTAGTTATTTTGGTAGAGACATTCTAACTGCTTACTTCTTTCTAAAGTGCATATTGATGCTGATGATGGTTTTGTCTAGAAAGACAATGAAATCTTCATACAATTCAGGGGACATAATATACCTTCAGAAATGTTATTTAAAATAGACAGTTGGCAAATCATACGTAATAAGAACAGTAGTTTACAATACAATCTAATAGAAATTAGAACTATATCTTGAATACTATTATGACTTTAAAGTGATTGGTTTGTATTCAGTTGGTTGTATGATTTGTCGGTCAACTGACTAACATCAAGAATCTAAGTAAATCTACATCTTATGCAATAATTACACTGAATAAGTCCATTGGGAACCGAAAATAGAGAAGATTAAAAGATGTTTATGTGCACAATTCTGCTTAACTGAAAATCACGTTAACATGTGAAGCTTCAGGAGATTGTTCAATGTTCGAATGTAGATCTCTAACTGATCATAATTGGACAGCCTAATTCAATGAAGTTTGAAATATAAATCCTTAAGTTTCAACTCAATCATTTGAAGAGAAAACAGTCACTGCTGCACCTGAAAGTATTTGATTCTATTCCCGATGACATGGTTAATGAGCACTATTGAATCTTGTACTAAAAACCAATGACACAATCCTTTATAGTATTCAATGATTGTTTGATCAAGATCAATCCCTGATGTAATCATTAAACTATATGTTTAAAAGACTATTCATAGTTGTTTGATGTATCGGGCTAAGAGTGTAGTGAACGAGAACAAGAATGAGAACAATCGGATATTTTGATGGAGTTTTGTTCGCTGAAATGGATGGTTTGGTCATTTAGAAGAACGATGAAAGCTCCACGATCAAACCATCCAGCTCAGAGAACAAAACTCCATCAAAATCATCCACCTGAGCTATAAATCTCCTACACTATTTCACAATCGAATATATTTGAATACAAAATTACAGAATCACTTAGTGTAGTATCTGAGAACCAAACACTATCAATCACTTCAAACTTTATTGTTCCTACATTTCTACACCAACCATTCTGTGTTCTAGTTCTTTCCTTCTTCGATCTTCTTAACCTTCTACCTTCAGGCAATTCACTTTCAATTGATGGTATATACTACTTATATCTATCAATACTTGTTTTACATTACATTATATTAATCATGGTTATTCATTTCATTAATATATAATTTAACAGTTAACTATATATACTACTTAATTACAATAATAACATTTAACAAACGTTTAACTATCAAGCTAAATTATACCTTTTCATTATAACAGAATTAATTCATAGAGTTCTATGTTCAGTAGTCAATTAACAAGTTCAATCATTTATATTACTTATATTGCTTGTATTTTAATTTCATTCTCTTAGTTACCTCAGATTATATCTGGTGTATACTGTAACTGTGAACATGATGACTGTGTTTACAAGTTATACATATATATGTATGTTTTGAACTCAACATTTTTGATAGTTAAATTCATGGGTGAATTTAAACTGGACCACTATGAAAAACCTAGAAGTACTGGAAGGCCGTTTCGTCCTAGTATGGGACTCCTCAGCAGTACGCATCTAAGATCCTACTTCGGGAGATTCGAACCCAGGATCATTAAAAAATATTAGAACATCCATAAAAATGCCATCCTCATAATGACCTACATGTGCTCACTTGTGATGGATTCTCATAGGTATTTCGTGGAGTTCTAGTGGGAAGCTGTGACTAATGCAGTCCAACCATGTTTGTTGTAGAGGCAGTTACTCATTGATGACATTAGTGGACGGCGGTGCAATATCGTGAAGTTAGACACTGACAACATTGGATGTTGAACAGCTCAGTGGCTTAGATGTTCTTAGGTTTGAAGTTCGCGAGCGGGATCATAGATGCTCACTGTTGAGGAGTCCTACAATAAGACGAAACTACCGTTCAGTGCTTTCATGTTATTCATGGTGGTGTAGCTTCAATTGACTCATAAATTCAACTATTAACTCCCATTCTGGTAATTGACATTAATGATTTCAATTAATCATATAATATTTTTCAACTAGCGAATAGATCATACGCTCCTGGGTTAGAACAACAAGATGGTTACCGTACAATTGCAACAACAAATTATCATCGTGAAATGCATACATCTGGACCACAATCACCATATCTGTAAGTTATTCATTTCTTTTATACTCATTATGCTTATACACTGTTTTACTGAAGTGACATGATATCATTTAGTTTGCATATTACTAATTGTAAGATAGTGAATGAGAAGGAGTAAAATTGTTCTCACGGAGTAGTTATAATTTATGGACGAACCAATCAGATTTAGGCTAACAAGTGTTGGATTTTGGCACGAAATTCATTTAATCATTTGACCAAATAGCGTCTTGGCATTTTAACTGATGTCAGTTCGTGATGAAAATCCTAGATGCAATTTCTAACCCTAATCATCAACTGTGAATTATAATCCTTATTCTTCAAACAGATTTATAACCCTCATTGTGAAAGGGTTATTCTGGAGGTAACTGAAAAGGAAATCGGATTAGAGGTGGTCTTAGTGACCTCAGAGCATGACTACAGTGCCCAAGGGACAACTGCTTGAGATCGGTTACACACGACCTTCTTAAGAGTAGTTTTCGTTTTAGCTACGTAGTTGTTGGAACTTTACTACCGGAGACGGATATCCGCGGGATAAGGCGAGGTGCGAATTTTTAGGGTCGACCTTTTCTAACCCCCGCCCTCCTTGTGGGCAAGCAGCATTGCTGTTATGCTGGTTGTCAGAGGGAAACACCTTACTGCCGTCACACTTCTGTACAATCAGCAATACGACTTCGCCTTCGCACCTTGAGTTTGCTGCTTTTAGTCTTATCGTTCTTCAACCGACTTGTCTGGCAATAGTAGGACCTTGAGAAACGATTTTCCAATCCAGTATAGCTTGATTGCTTCATTACGATAGGCAAGCCTGACCATCACATCAAGGTAGCAGCAACGGTCGGACCGATCCAAGCATTCTTCATCCAACTCTGTCCTCAACAATCCTTTCCAGTTCTTTTCAGTTGTTATTCATCCTTTTCATATCTGCTTCCAATCGCTGACATAGTATCTTTTTGGCTTTCTTCTTTTCTGTTCCCCTTCAGGATTCCAAGTTAACAGTTGCTTGATGATGCAATTTGATGTTAAAATTATATCAAGTTGATAAATTGTCTTTTTTTTCTGTTTTTCTTTTTGTTTTCAAATCAATATTTAGTGGGACAATCAGACATAATTCACAATATGAAGCAACACCAATAGTGAATCGATCAGTAGTTCAACAATCTGTTATACCATGTATGTATATTGTATAGAAGTAAAACAAATATATATACGAGAAAATGAACATAATGATTCATTTAATATTAATATTAATAGTTGAGATCATGAATCAATTGAGGCTAGATCACCATGGAAGTACTGGACGGCTGTTTTGTCCTATTGTAGGACTCCCCAGTGTGAGTGCGCATCCGCGATCCTGCCTAGCAAGATTTGAAACAGCCATCCAATGCTTCTAGATTTTCTATGGTGATCTAGCTTCAACTGAATCATGATCTCAACTATTGAAATGATTATCATATCCACAAAAAATCCCTTCTGAGATTGATTTAATAGTTTGTTTTTCAGTAATAACATGTAAGATGACTGAATCCTTTCAGTTGTACTGTTATCATTCTCTAAGATGATATAAGATTGATAGGTTACTATGATGGAATGATTTCAGCTAATTGAACCAATCACATTCAAGATGGTCAATCAACACTTAATCCTTAAATGACTTAATTGGCATCCAATATTGATCACTTTATGATATTGTACGACTTTCATTGATCTCACGAACTTTGTCTGTTTCAAAACTGTTAGTTACAGCTTGTAACTAGAACCCTGGGTGACATGGCTCAGAACCAATCATAATGGCGTCAGTGCATACACCCTCTGTTCTCCTTTAAACTGTTAGATTAAAATTGCTTTATACCTTTATTTCTAGGAACATATTCTTTCTACTTGCATTATAACCTTATACACAATCTCTCTTCTATATATTACTACCACTGAAGTAACTACATGTATGAATTTGGTGTTCGTGTTGTTGCGCTAATGATTTATGGCAACTTGAACCTATGCATATATATGTGTCTGGTCTTACGTTGTAGCTGACTGACTGACTAGAATCCTGAGCTTTTTGTTTAGTAGTAAAAGCATCTTTAACTATTTGGAGGGGGGACGGTACTCTTCACATACTGATTTCATTGAAAGTACTACTTGATATCAGAGAACACTCTGAAAGTAATTCATCCTAGAAAAACCGCTGAGTTCTCAGTCAATCGTACACATTTCCTACTTCAATCCATTTGTAATAAATTTGTGACATCTACAGAACAAAATAAGTTCCATCGAATCTATCCTTATTATTATTATTATCATTATTATGTTGATAATTTTATCTCCATAAAATTTCAGTTTCACCAAATGGAAGTTTATCTGGAACGAATATTGGTGTTGATATTGTCGATGGTGATACAGTAGGAATGCGTCAAGTTCTTGATACATCTAAATATTGGTATTTACCAGGAATCTCACGTCCTGATGGTATGTTTATTTGTATTTCACTGTGTATTGAATTATTAGCAATTGATATTAGATACTTGTTTACTTATACCTGTTATCTCTCATGAAAGAAAATAGGCCATTCACCGTGATTCACCATCGACCAGATGTCGATGGTATAGTTTGAGTACATAAATAAATATTGATTTGTCTCTCCTGTACACTCTTCTCACAATAAAATGATCCTATATATTGTGAATGTGTTACTTACTTACTGACGCCTCTTACTCCCAATTGAGCATAGGCCACAGACCAGCATTCTCCAACTCACTATTTCCTCGGCCTTTCTTTCTACTTCTATCCAATTCTTGTTCATTCTTCTCATGTCTGTCTCTATTTCTCGGCGTAATGTGTTCCTTGGTCATTCTCTTCTTATTTGGTCTTCAGAATCCCACGTGATAGCTTGCCTTGTGACGCAGTTGGGTGCTTTCCTAAATGCCTGTTCTACCCCCCATCCATCGGTTTTTTACGATTTCTTCCTTCAATTGATTGTAAATGTGTTAATTTAGATCAATTCCGTGTACTTCAATAGTCCAGTGCAATTTCACAATAATCACTTTTTCAAATGATTATTTAGATTATGAGTTATGTTGTACCGTTAACAGTGGATACTTCTTTAGCGAATAATTCAAAAATGGAAAACGTATTACTTTCTTCCATTCTTTATATTTAAAAGCCTAAAGTGTATACCACACTAATGAATAATGATTAATAATTGACTAGCTAAAAATTGGATAGTCTATAGATCATTCCACTGTAGGACAATGTCATCCGTATACTTAGGGTTGTAAATTCTTCCTTCTAAAAGAGATGTCGAAGTTTGTGCTGATGATGTCATTCACAAAAACAATGAAAGCTCCACTACCAAAGCATTCAACTCAGAGAACAAAACTCTATCGAAATCTTTTGTTAGGTACCAGATTCATGTTAACATCATCATCTGTTTCCAGAAGCTCATTAATGATATCACTGAAAAAGGACTAGTAACAATGTGTAACTCTTCTTCAACACCTTGTTATGATGAAACAATAGATTATTGTTACAGGAAGCAACAGTGTTTAAATCAGTATACCAAAGTAGGTATCATCAATCGAATGTGAAATACCTGGTGATAGAGAAGGTTAAGTAGTTTGAAGAAAAGAGAAATAGGACACAGAATGATGGATATGGAAACGAAGGAACAATCAAGTTTGAGACGACTGATTGACATTTTGCAGAATGAAGTATTTACGATGTATGGTTCTCAGATTTTACTAAGATGCTCTGTAATTTTGTGTTTAAAAATACATTCAATTGCCCACTCTTATGTTCTCGTTCACTATAGTATTTGTCAATCTATGATGTTGTAAATATACGACCCCTTCATTATGCTTGGTCTATTTCACATTTGCCTATTTAATGAAATAATGTAACTAGATATATAAGTTTGTTGTTGCCATGGTGATTAACACTTGGTATTCTCATTCACTACAATAAGATATAACTTTAATTTTATTTCATATCACTTAGAAGACTATATTGAATTGGTTACTTATACTATCCATTTTTAAAACAAGCGTACGACTAATGTGTATACTTATTATAAGCTGTACTTAATCCCATGAAACTTTCATCAAGATCCAAGGTACTATGATGAATAATTCGATTAGTCAAAGTTCTTTAAATGATCTTCAACATCATCCAGATTCCTGTTTTCCTATTTAGTTTTAAAAGTAGAATATTTCTAGGGATAGGGTAATTGGTTGAGATAATGAGGTGAGACCATAATGGATGAACCACCTTTGAAAGAACCTCAAGTGACCTTGAGAAAGATTAGCCAATCAGCAAACAGTTAGTATAGAGTAAGTATTTATTATGCAACACTCAAGAATTAAAATGGATATACTTCTTTTATATGGTTCAAAAACTTATCAAGATTAGAAATTAGTTCAGAGATTCTGAAATCGTAACGCATACGATAGAAGAAGTCATCCATATGACTCCATGACTAGGATATGGTCGAGAAAACTCCTTCAGCCTCGACCACATAGCTTCCATAATGTTTATGTGCATTTCGATTGTTCGACTCACAAAATGCCATTTGTGGACAACGACACGATGCACATAACCAAGTCTATGTAAGCATCTGTACGCTCTTTGATCATCCGCATATATTGTATTACTCGGCTGTAGCCAGTATTACTGATGCTTTTGTTATCCAGTTTGCAACAATTATCATAATTTGCCTTGATCTCAATCTGGATTGAGAGAAAAAAGTTCCTATTCTAACAAACTCTCCATGTCCATCAACCCAGCTAAAGCGCCGGAAATTCGCTTTTCGTCCTCTCAATTTCGTAAACAACACTCGTGGTGCTAGAAGGAAATGAGTAGGACTTCCCTGACAGATGCTATATACGCATGGTCATATGAGGGCCGTACCAGGGCATTTGGACGCCATCATCACAATAGTCTACACAAAGTCTACAACTCATCTGATTATCACAATTACAAATAAACGAACTTCTAAATAGTCTCATTTATTATAGCCGCTCAATTATCCCATTTTCCGTAAAATGCATCAGGTTTCAAAATTGGCGCCATGACCTTGAAGTCTCTCAGACACTTCTGATTGGTTCATTCATAAATTATAATCTTGCTTACATTGTAGCGGTAAACAAATCCACAAACTAAATAGCTCTGTAAGTTTTCGACATTGGATGCTGACCATATGTTTTAGTGGACTCATCTAGCTGAAGGCGCTCGGTCAAGCATCCGCACCAGATCACGTGTGGTAACGCTGTGCTCAACCTCTACCGCAATCGCTAGTCAGATTAGATCAGAGAATTCCGATATATTGGTTATCGCCAAGTACACTCTTCCGATCTCCTCGACTCTGTCGTTTGATTTCTCTCGGTGGGAACAAAGTATATTAGAAGGTGTTACTGGTAAAAGCGTTGTCAAACACTGAATACCTGTATCATCCTCAACATATTAGTTACATTAAAATTGTTTACTTTATTTTAGTTATTGCATTATTACGTGATAAAGAACCTGGAACTTTTGTTATACGTAATAGTAATACATATGCTGATAGTTTTGGTTTAGCATTGAAAATTCCTCCAAATTCACCTAGAGTTATATCTAATAAAGGTTAGTTATTCATTTCTATATACATAGTTTCCTTTGATGTAATAAACTTATTTATGTTATATGTTATTATGTAATTACTTACTTACTTACTTACACCTGTTACTCCCAATGAAGCGTGGGCCGCCGACCAGCATTCTCCAACCCACTATGTCTTCGGCCTACCGTTCTACTTCTATACAATTGTTGTTCATTCTTCTGATGTCTTTCTCCGTTTCTCGACGTAATGTGTTCTTTGGTTTCCTTCTTTCCCTTTGGCCTTGAGGATTCCATGTGAGGACTTGCCTTGTCCACTTCCAGTGATTCTCAGTGATTTCTTCTTCCGCTGGGATCTGGTTTTTGCTCTCCCATAGTAGGTTGCTGCTGATTGAGTCTGACAAACGGATCCGAAGTACTTTTTGCGTACACAACTGTTAGTAAACAATTGTATCTTCCAAGCTTTCATCCCATATCGTAGAACTATCTTGACAATCGTATTAAAAATTCTGACCTTGGTGTTGGTTGACAGTTATTTTGATTTGCAGATGTTCTTCAATTGTAGATATGCCGTTCTTACTTTGCTGATTCGCGTCTTCACATCTGCATCATATCCACCGTGTTTATCAATGATGTTGCCCAGATATATAAAGGATTTTACATCTCCCAAATCTTCTCCGTCAATTGTGTTCCGACTGTTGCATCTTGTATTGTATCCGAGAATCTTGCTTTTCCCTTTGTGTATGCTGTGAACTACTGCTACACTAGTCGTCTTTTCCTGCATTTGTTGTTGCGTGTGTGATAGAAGAGCTAGATCATCTGCGAAGTCTAGATCGTCCAGGTTATTATGTCATAGATCAGTGTAAATATGGTTGTAACCTGTCTAACTGAGTTCCAAACTGTTAAATTAACTAAAATGGTATTGAATCTCAGAAGTAGAATCCATTTCTTTAAGATTAAAAATAAGCTTTACTATTGATGTGTATTAAAAAGTGACAAATCCAGTTTAAAGAAGGTTTCTGTTATGTTCCGATAAGCATAATGAATGGTAACTTTTGGGATCCATTTATGGACCAATTACTTACTTACTTACGCCTGTTACTCCTCGTGAAGGAGCATACGCCGCTCACCAGCATTCTCCATCCAACCCTGTCCTAGGCAATCCTTTCCAGCTCCGTCCAGTTGTTATTCATCGTTTTCATATCTGCTTCTATTATCCGACGCAATGTGTTCTTAGGCCTTCCACTTTTTCGCTTCCCTTCAGAATTCCAAGTTAGGGCTTGTCTCGTGATGCAGTTTTACGATTTGCGTAATGTATGTCCTATCCATTTCCATCGTCTTTTCCTAATTTCCTCTTCAGCTGGAAGTTGTTTTGTTCTCTCCCACAGAAGGCTATTGCTGATGGTATCCGGCCAATGGATGTTGAGTATCTTGCGTAGACAACTATTTATAAATACTTGTACTTTCTTGATTGTGGTTGTTGTAGTTCTCCGAGTTTCAGCTCCATACAGTAGAACTGCCTTGACGTTGGTATTGAAGATTATCACTTTGATATTGGTTGAAAGTTGTTTTGAGTTCTATATGTTCTCTAATTGCAGGAATGATGTCCTTGCTTTGCTAATCCTTGCCTTTACGTCTGCATCTGAACCTCCTTGTTCATCGATGATGCTTCACAGGTATGTGAAGGACTCTACATCTTCCAGAGTTTCTCCATCAAGAGTGATTGGATTGCTCTTTTCCGCTTTGAATTTGAGGACTTTGGTTTTCCCTTTGTGTATGCTGAGGCCTACTGATGAAGAGACTGCTGCCACACTGGCTATCTTCATCTGCATCTGTTCGTGTGTACGTGATAGGAGGGCTAGGTCATCTGCGAAGTCCAAATCGTCTGATTGATTCTGAGCTGTCCATTGTATTCCGTCTTTTCTTTCAGATGTCGAGGTCTTCATAATCCAGTCGACCACCAGACGAAAGAGGAAGGGAGAGAGTAAACAGCCTTGTCTTACTCCGGTCCTTACTTGGAATGCATCTGTCAGCTGTCCTCCATGCACTACTTTGCACTGTAGTAATACGAAGGATAATTTTGACAATCTTCTCAGGAACTCCGTAGTGTCGAAGAAGTTTCCATAACGTCCTCCTATCCACACTGTCAAATGCCTGTTCATAATCAATGAAGTTGATGTACAGTGTTAAGTTCCACTCAATTGATTGTTCAACGATGATCCGTAGTGTTGTAATTTGGTCTGTGCACGATCGATCATTACGGAATCCAGCTTGTTGATCTCGAAGTTGGGTGTCTACTGCATCTTTCATCCGGTTCAGCAAAACTCTGTTAAAGACTTTACCTGGTATTGACAGTAGTGTAATGCCTCTGTAGTTTTCACATTTGATCAGATCTCCTTTCTTTGGAATCTTGACGAGGTGTCCTTCTTTCCAGTCCATCGGCACATGTTCTTCCTTTCAAATCTTTCTGAATAGAAGGTAAAGCATGCTTGTAGTTGCTTCGATGTCTGACTTCAGTGCTTCAGCTGGTATGTTGTCCAGACCCGCTGCTTTCCCGTTCTTGATTTGTCTGATGGCCATTCTGATTTCTTCCTTCGTTGGTGGGTTGACGTCTATGGGAAGATCTGTGTGTGCCACTTCGATGTCCGGTGGATTCATTGGAGCCGGCCTATTCAGGAGTTCCTCGAAGTATTCTATCCATCTGTTCCAACCCTCCTCTTTTACCCGGGCTTGGGACTGGCAGTAACCCTATAAGAGCTACAGGCGGAGTTTATGGACCAATACTATACGTATATTTTTATCGCATAATTATTGAATAACTAAACTATACATATTCATGTATTTTTCATGAGCTTTATTTTGACTTATGAACTGTTATTATACGATTTACCATTCTTGAATTATACCCTGTCTGTTCATTACAGTCTTCCCAATTCACAGCCACATTTGACTAAATCTTTTACAAATGTTGTTTCCGATTTTATGGTACGATGTGATCTGTTTGGTTTGTATATAAACCCAGTATGTTTGAAATAAACGATTCATATCGCAGAGGAAAGATTGGTGTTCTGGACTCAATAAGACGGGTAGAAGGACCGGTAATGATCTTAGATTACTCGTACGGGTTTATGTGTCATTAGTCCGGTCAAAAAGTTACTGTTCTGTAATTGGCGGTATCATTATAACATATATTAACAGGGCACATAGGCCACAAGTTATAACAGTTTCCTGCTAATTACCTACAACAATCTGGTACTGTAAACCAAGATATTTATAATAACTTGAAATTTAGAATCTTCAAATATTCATTTATTCATATATAATAAGGTCTCAAGTCATTGTGTCATACCATCTCTAGAACCTCAACCAGGGAGTTGTCAAGGATCAGCAGAAGTCAGTCTTGTACAGTTTTCTTTCATATCATGAAACCTTGTCCATACACTGATTATTTCTCCGCTTTTTCTAACCAGTCTTAGCGTCGGCAAATAATGCACGGCGTGGAATTTTCTGTGATGATATTTGTAGAATATGTCCAAGCTATCGAAGTCGATGCTTCAAGATAGTGACACTAATTGAACTATCGTCATTGTGCCCCAACACACGAAATCGAACCTCTGCATTAATAATATGGTATTACCACTATGTTAAAACTTGGAAGTATATACTAACCTATATTTTTCTTTACTAATTAACAGAGGATATTCAATCTGAATGGGTACGTCATTTTCTAATTGGTACAGTTCCTATGCATGATGGTCGTGGGAATGGAGTACATTTACGTGGTTTCTCTAGTGATCCAACATTTCCAAGTTTAGCAGCATTTGTTCATTATCATATTCATAAACAAGGTGCATTACCATGTACACTTCGTCTTCCAATATTTACTAATCAAACATTATATAATCAACAAAGATCTACTATTAATGAACAAACAATTTATGGATTAGAACCTTCATTACAGACAATATTACCAACTACTAATACAATGAGTAAGAATTCTTTATTGTTAGTTATATTAAGTCTTTAAATGTATGTGTTACGAATTCTCGGTAACGAAGCAACCACCTCCATTACCCAGGGTGTGGCCCCCTAAGTAAACCACCTGCTTCGGTCTGGGCACCCGGGCAGTATCACAGCCCACACACACACAAATATGGTGTGGCGCATATATATTTGGTGCCTTCTTGTACCAATTTTTATGTGTTAAAATCAAATAAAATGTGTTCTGAAGATTTGTTTAAATGTTTTGGATAATTAGTTTCATTTGAAGAGGATTTCTGTCATATATAAACATTCATTAAGGTAATAATAAACAACTAAAGATTATCGATTAGTTATGTTATTCTAATGTAGCACTATCACCAGACATAGCTGCTTACTCTCCCTCGTTCTCTTTCTTCTGGTGTTCGATTGGATTATGAAGGCCACCACATCTGAGGGGAATTACGGAGTACAATGGACACGTTGAATATAACTAGACTATTTGAAGTTCTCAGATCACCTAACCCTCCTATTCCATAGACATCAATGAATGCAGGTCATGACAAACAGTGTAGCAGCAGCCTCTACAGCACTAGACCTCAACCCAAACAAGAGAAGAAACAACATCCTCAAATACAACACAGAGAACACCAAAGCAATCTTACTTGAAACTCTCGAGGAGGTGGAAAGTTTCACATATCTGGGTAGCATCATCGATGAACGTGGAGGATCCGATACAGACCTAGAAGTGAGAAGTGGAAAAAAACAAGGATAGCATTCCTACAGTTGAAGAACATATGCAACTCAAAACAACTGTCTGTAAACCAATATCAATGTCACAGTCTTCAATACAAGCGTGAAAACAGTTCCATCATATGAAGCTGAAGGTTTGAGAATTAGGTATTTATAAACAATTGTCTATGCAACATACTAAATGTCCGTCGGTTGGATATCATCAGAAACAGTTTACTATAAAAGAGAACAAACTAGATTCCATTTGAAAAAGAAATTACGAAAAAACGATGGAAGTGGATAGGTCACACATTAAATAAATCATCAAACTGCACCACGATTCAAGCGCTAACTTTGAATCCTGAATGGCGACGGAAAAGAGGAACTCACAGCGTTGAGAATTGAAATTAGACATGAATAGGATGAATAGTAACTAGAAAGGATTGCCCAGGGGGAGGCCTTTGCTCCTTCACGATGGGTAACAGGCGTAATTAAATAAGTAATGTAGCTCAACGTAAACGTAGACTAACACAACTCTACCACTAGTCAAAACCAAAGTGTTCATATCTTTATTTTATTTTATTTTAACACATAGATATTGATACAAGGAGGCACCAAATAGATATGCGCCACACAAATCTCATTTGATATGTGTAAGGGCTGTGATACTTTCCGGGTAACCAAACCGAATCACGTGGTTCTCTTAGGAGGCCACACCCATAGGCTTCGACATGAAGGTCTGATCCACAAGGTAGTGGAGCATCGTAAGGAGATGCAGTCCCACGGTAGCCAATGATCAACGATTGGTTCATACGACATTTGTCCCTTCAGAATACTGGAGCCCATGTGCACCATTGGTTTGGAATCAGGGTTTTCCAACTCCCCTAGGTGGACTCACCATGTCCACCAACCCAGTTAAAGCGCTGGACATTCGCTTTTCTTCCCATCAATTCCGTAAACAACAACCGTGGTGCGAGAAGGCAGTGAGTAGGACTTCTCTGGCAGAGGCTATATACGCGTGGCCATGTGAGAGTATTTGGAGGGGGAGAGCTAACTCTTCTCACTCTCGGCCGTACCAGGGCATTCGGGGGCGTTCATATCTCTTATTATTATTATTATCAACGTAATACATTTAAATTGCTAAGCTAGATTACATTGGTTTGCACACATTTCAATGAGTTGATGATGTGGCCCAACGACTGTCCACGTGCACGTGGACAACTGCGTACACATATTCGACTGAGAAAATGTTCAGATCTCGGATAGAGGCAATTGCGAAAACACCAGAAAATTCTTAGAAGCTTGGTACTCAGGTCAATCAGCAATCATCATGCACATTGAAATCGATCCAATTAATCAACTAATCAAAAACTATGGACAGATATGGGACCAAGAATCAAACCAGTGGGAGATACAACCAAAACAAAGAAGTAGACAATGACAAGTTAAAGGTCAGCAGTAGCCAATCATGATTGAGGTCTACAGGACAAGCTGTAAACCGCATGTAGAGAAATTCGAACACTTCACCTCTATCTGAGGTTTTTGCTGATGATGTTGTTCAGAAGAACGATGATAGCTCTACGATCAAACCATCCAACTCATAGAACAAAACTCCATCAAAATCATCTACCTGAGCTACAAATCTTCTCCACCACTATCTAATACTGTCTATGATCTCTATCTCATTCTGAACGATAGTTCAACTCAGTTAGTCAGAAATTCTCAATGGAACTTTGAGAACTGATTTCAAAGCAAGTTACTGGCAAATGATATTTCTGTTTGAATTTGTCATGTTACATAACTAAAGTTACATTTGGATTAACTAACAGAATATACATTTCATCAAATGAAAACAAATAACTTTTTATATCATTTCAGGTACGGATATGCTTTATCTTGGTTCTGTTGAAGTAGATCGTCTTGAAAATATGAATGCAGCAATTCGTGGAATTGGAAAAATAATAAGTTTAGCACAATCATATACAGATGGTTTACCAAAACGTTGTGAAGTTCAAATTAAAGTTATACCACATGAAGGAATTACGTTTACGGAAAAATATCGACGTGCGGTTTGGAGAAAAACTATTAAACCTAATAATTTACTATGGTGTGGTTTAGATCCAGAAAATCGAGAGTAAGTTTTATAAAATTCATTTCTATTTCTTAAAATGTTTATGATCTTGAAACTGGCATTGTTGATACGCACTGCCGAGGAATAACACAATAAGACGAAACAGTTGTCAAATGCTTTCAGATATTCAATGGTGGTCTAATATCAATCAATTCATGATCTCAATCAATTACAAAGTTAATTGATCAGAGTTAGTTAAATGGTTAACTGTGGAATACAAAGTGACACGAGATCGAATCCGCCAGGGAGCACCAGTTCCCTCAAGATTACAGGTACATCTTGTTGACGAGTGCCAAGTAGCACGAAACCCGGGTCCATGGTTTCCTGTCGACTACCTCTAACCATAATCTAATCTCACAATAGTGCACGCAGTGTCGAGTCACCTAGGCTGGTGGCCACATTGCAACTTGGTCGACAGCATTCGATCTGCACTAATAAGGACTAGACACGCAATCAATTGCGATCTCAATTACAGTATAAACAACCTAAGAGCTCATAAAATCAACTGCGTATAAACTTTGTTCAAGAGGGCGACAACACACTGCAACACACTAGTAGCATATAAGAGATGAAGAATGATGAAAGCTCCACAATCAAATCATCTAACTCAGAGAAAAATACTCTATCAAAATCATCCATTTGAGCTACAAATCTTCTCCACGTTTTGTTCTATTTAGGTCTTATCAACTGGATGGTTTTTGGATTCTAATGTCGAAGTTCACATGACTATGTAAACCTTATAGCTTTCACGTTAAACGTCCATCGGATTATGTATCTAAACTGATGAATTACATTAATTACTCACTCACTTTCAAATAACAATCTTATCATAACTAGTGTATTCTTTTTCAGTGATATAAGCATGAAGCTTTAATAATGTCTTTTGTTATAGTTGAAATTACTATAGAATAAGTTTATAAATGGATCATCATTGAAAACTTAAAAGCGCTAGACTGTCATCTGGTCTTAGTATGGAACTGTTCAGCAGTATGCATTGATGATCTCGCATGGGAATGCTTAACCTCTAGACCACTGAACTGACATCCCATTATGTTACTATCTAACTGCAATCGATTCATGATCTTGCGCAACTCTTCACTCATTGTCTAAGGTGGATAATTGTCTCACATCCGACATGGATTGCATTCCACCATCAAATGCTTCCAAGTTTTTAATGATCATCTAATATTGATCTATTGATGATATCAATCTAAACTCAACAATCTTCCCAACTCTATACTGACGAACAAGCCTATGTTGTGTCATTATTATTATCATCATCAAAATTAGCCCTCTAAAGTGAATTGACTAATATTGTTTAATATACTACTCTTAATTGTATTTTACTTCTATGAATTTCGCTTATAGATTTAATGATGCAGAATTACGATCCAAAGGAATGTATGGTTCAAAGTAAGTCATATTTTTCATAATTAATCTGTTTACTTATAAAATATGGCTAATAATCATTCACTAAATATTGAACTTGTTTTTAAAATGAAAATAAATGGTATATGTTACCAGCGATTTTGGTGGAGATTGTTGAATATGAAAGTCTAGATCATGGACAGACTCTAAATGCTATGCTCTCACATGACCTCGCTTATACAACGAGTACCAGGGGAGTCCTACTTAATGCCTTCTCGAGTTGTAAGTGTTATTTACGAAATTGAGAGAACGAAAACCAAATGGCCGGAGTTGTTACCAAGTTGGTAGGCACAGAGAGTCCACTTAGGTGAGTTGGATAACCCTCATTCCACACCAGTCATGTACATGAGCTTCAGAATCATGAAGGAACAAATGGTATATGAACCTATTGTCGGTTACTGGCTACCATGGGATTGTATCTCTTTATGTTGCTTCATTGCCTTGTGGATTAGACCTTTAGGTCAAAGGCTCGGTGAGTGATCCCTTAAGAAAACTACGTGCCTCGGTTCGGGCACCCAGGCACTATCACAATCCACAGACAAATCAAGTGACTTATGTGTCACCATTTTGCACCAAATAAATAAAAATCATGGACTAACTTTGATTAAATAAACAATGAAAACAAGAAACGATTAAACATTTCATTTCGTCTTATTATAACACTTGTAAGTGGAATGATCACTTGTATTATGTTATTACAGTAAGTTTGACTTGAAATCATATACCAGTTAATGTTTATCACAGTAACTCATTATTTTTTTTGATTGAAATCATCAACCGATTGATGTTAGACCACCATTAAAAACCTGGAAGCACTGGACGGCAGTTTCGTCTTATTGTTGGACTCCTCCGCGGTGCGCATCCACGATCCCGCTCGCAGGATCAATCGGTTCATGATTTCAATCAAAAGCTTAACAATCTCCACAACCACTAAACTGATAACTTATTATTTATACAGACATTACGTAACTCTATAAGTGAAATAATATTGTTAATTACATATTTTGAATTACATTATAAGGCTGATGTAGTATTTTAGTGAACTCCTACAACTCCGTATAGACTTAGAACAAATCATACTAATTACGTAATACCTTGTTCATTTTAATTGATCTCTCAATAAGTTAGATCTACCTCAGATAATGGAAGAAAGGTTACACAAGATCATAGATCGATTAAAGTTCCACATTAGTGCTGTTAAATGCTGGCTCAGTGGTTTAGAAGTTAAGCATTTACACGAGTGACCGAAGATCCTGGATTCGAGTCCTGTGTAAGAGATTGCGGACACACATCGCTGAGAATTTTTATCCTAGGACAAAATGGTTGTCTAATGGTATTCTAGCTTAGATCGACTTATGAACTCAAATATTCACATTCAGTCAGTCAGTCGGCCACAACGTAGGACCAGGCACATATATGCATCGGTCCAAGTTGCCATACCTCATTAACACAACAAGATGGACACCGGATTTATAAAAGTAGTTAATTCAGAGGTGGTATTATGTAAAAAAAAGATTGCAATAATGATATAGTACAGTAGGAAAGAATTAGTTCATGGAAAGGAAAGTATGAAGCGATTTTAATCTCTTAGTTTAAGGGAAGACAGAGAGTGTATACACCGACGCCATTGTGATTGATTCTGAGCTATATCATCAAGAGTCTTTAACCATTGGTTACGATAGTCACGCGGACCGTAACCAAGTAGTTTGCATCTGCCACCAACATGGCTCAGACTACAAGTTAGTGACTTCAAGGACTGATGCCACGTTTTGGTTTGGCCGCCCCTAACTTTCTTCCAACCATACCGAACACCGGTTAGCATTGCGCGTTGTGGTAATCAGTGTTCAGGCATACGCAACACGTGGCCCAGATATTCACATTACAGATTTATAAACAAAAGTCATCTTAATAATAAATTGATCAATTATTTAATCTATTTATCAAATGACTTAGTTTCATATAAAATAATAATTATTATCAAGACTCAATAGTTAAGTGGATAACACAATGTTGTTTGAAGCGAACGGTACTAAGTTGCAGTTTCAAAGCGAATATTAACTCTGAGATGCAGATACATCCATTTGATGAATCGCAAATAGGACAAAACGCGCATCAAACTGGATTCCATTGTTAACAATTGTTACCTCGAAATGCCCTGGTACGGCCGAGAGTAGGGAGAATCCGCTCTTCCTCTCGAAATGCTCTCACATGACCACGCGTATATAGCCTCTGCCAAGGAAGTCCTACTCAATGCCTTCTAGCACCACGTGTGTTGTTTACGAAAATGATAAGACGAAAAGCGAATGTCCGGCGATTTAACCGGATTCCAAATCATTGGTGCACATGGGCTCCAGTATCCTGAATAAACAAATGGCGTATGAACCAATTGTTGGTCACCGGCTTCCATGGGACTGCATCTCCTTACGATGCTCCACTGCCTTGTGGATCAGACCTTCAGGTCGAAGGCTCGGGGAGTGGCCCCCTAAGAAAACCACCTGCTTCAGTTTGGCCACGGCCTTCACACATATCGAATAAGATTTGTGTGGCACATATGCCTCCTTGTACCAATATCTATGCGTTAAAATAAAATAATAAAATAAATAAATAACTACCAACTATAAACAATGGCTTCTTCGAAAATAAAAACTCCATTAGGATGTCATAATGTTCAAATAGAATTATATCAGTAGTGTATCACTAACAATTTATCAAAATTATTATGAATGTTATGAATAATAATTAGGAAACCCATTTCATATGATGAAGTTTTCATGAATGATGACGAAAGCCTTATAATTAAATCGGTTAACTATGTTGTGTATACATATGCATTGTTGTAAAGAGTTGAGAATAATAAAAGAAACAAGTTGTAGTGGTTAGCATTATATGAATCCAATATAAGTTAGTGTAGTCATTGGACAGGTCAATTTATTCATTCTTCTGAAGTCAATTTTTTTTAGTTTGTCAATTGTTCTATGATTATTTATAAGTATTGAGTAACGCATGATCAAACCAAGTTGGTTCACTTAACTTCTCCACTAAGTGTCATCTCGTTTCATCACGTTTCTCTAATTGTCTAAGTACGTCAACGATTGTATAAAATCCATTCTCCTCATAGTTGACGTATTTTATTTCAATGATTAAATACAAGAATAGTCAAGATCTATATTTCAGTAATCAGCTAAGTAAAGATTAATAGGTCCTGAGTTCGAATCCCGCTTGTTTGTAAGATGATAGATATACACAATTAACACGTTGTCTGTTGACTACATTTGTCTGTTTATTTATTTTCATCTTTTGCTTCGTTTTTTGTTTGTTTATATTATAGAATATTTGCATTAGTTGCACGTAAACAACGTTTCTGGTTACATGATAATGTAGTTTATGTATTTTGTGAAATTGATCATAATCATTCAGCTATTCAATTAGTACGTTTTATTCATTCTATATTTCCTGGTTTAAGGGATTAATTGAATGATATAAATCAATATATATGTTCCTTATATATTTCATATATATACATATATATATATGTATGTGTTTATGAAGGATCTTCTATTTCAATCATTCTCAATAAAGTTTCTTTCATCTAATATGAATTGTTTTTGTTTGTTTTAAATTGATCAATAAATGATCATTATTTTATTCTATTTAACAATGAAAATAATATAGAGCATTATTTCATCTTATTGATGATGATACTGTTGATGATGATGATGATACTGTTGATGATACTGTTGATGAGGGAATGAAAGAATCCATTGAGATGAATGATATTTCTCTTTTTTTTCTTTTTTTTTCTTTTTTTCTTTTGCAACTTTCGTTAATTAACTTTTCTTTATTTTAATTAAATTCAATTCATAATTAATCAATGAATGATTTCGAATGAATTTTATCTTTTTGTTTTGGTTTTTTTTTAAAAAAAAAAAGAAAAGAGAAAACATTTTCGAGTTTTTTTTCTAAACGTTTTTCTTACTTTTACATTTATAACACACACACACAAATCTATATATATATACATGATACAATCAATATTGATCTATTTCATATTTAAACTACCACCACGATGACGACGACTTCTGACAATACTGTTGACAATACTACTACTGCTACTACTAACTATACTACTTATATACAATATTATACTATTTATTCTCTATATATCTGCTTTTAATTATTCAATTATCGATTTATTTATTTACTTGTTTACAAATAATCATTTCATACTTGAATTCGTTTATGTTTAATTGAAATTATATTATGAAAAACAAATAAAACAAAAATATTGTATGTGTTCAATATTCAATATTTCTTATTTAACATAAATAATGACGATTGTTCGTCTGTTTGTTTGTTTAAATGTATTCAGTTGACCTTGAGTAGTGTTAGTCTACCGTTTTTTTTAAAAAGAACCGGGCTTTTTAAAACTTTTATTTATTTTACAGGTTACTTTCTTTTTCTTCTTTTGCTTTTTTTTCTTTTTCTTTCCAAATGATAAATATTTATTAAAATGAATAGTTTATTCTATAAATGAACTTGGTTGATATTTATATTTGTTAATTTCAATGGGAAATAATGAGTTCAATTACGTAATGGTGTTATATAGAAGCTTATATATATATACATATGTTGCTTAAGTAATAGTTATATATATATAAATATTTGTTTAATCTTTACCTTTTTGGTTATTGGTTTAAATGAACAAATATTTATCAAAATGCCTTTTGACTACTTATTTATTTATAAAGCATTCATAATGTTCTCTCTCTCTCTCTTTGTCATTCACACACACATACATACAGACACACACGCACATGCACACACGCACACACATACACACAATCAATAAGATGAAAGCTGAAATCTTTCAACTATAAATGAACTTTATCAAGCATGAGATATAATACGTATCTATGTACTTAAAAACAAAAACAAAACAAGACAATATGTTCTTCTTCATTTTTTTTTTGCTTAAGTTAAAACTGCTTTAGCTAAAAATCAATTTTTTATTTTGTACAAATATATCATATTATTATAATATTCACTACAACAACAACAACAAAACAATCCTTTTGATATGAATCCCTATATACTCCTTAGCAACTGGCTTCAAGTTCAACTAGGTCTGTTGTAAGATAGTAACTGACTGATGACAATGGTGAATGTATCGCTCAATGTTATGGATTAGGTGATACCGCTGAATGCTGGTCATTTCAATGATCTAGAGGTTAACTCTTCGCGCACCAAAAACCGGTAGGTCCTAAGTTCGAATCTTGTGGGAAGAGATGGTGGATGAGCACTGCTGAGGTAGTCCTACAATAGAACTAAACGGTTGTTCCGTGCTTCCAGATTTTCCATTGTGGTCAAGCTATTAAATTACTATAATATCCACACACAAAAACCCTTTTCATATTGTTTTATCAACTTTACTAATAATAATCATAATCTGATTGATATTCATTATAGATTGAAATGAATCGGAATGCTATGGTCGATATAATTTAATTATGTTTAGATTGAGATAGTCATTATCATTGACTTTAAATCATCATTATCTTAAACTGTTGAACGGTGTAGATAATAAACTGTACACTGTGTACTTTTAATGAAAGGTTTAAAGGTAATCTGCGTTTTCCAGTATCCAGGTTTAGTATATGAAGAATTTCAGAATTACATCCTCTAATTCAGAATATACATTATGAGATTAGTTACCAAGTCAATAATTGATACAAGTAGACAGTAAATATGATTAACTTTTTTCGAAATACCCCCGGTTCATTCATTGTATAGACAAGAGGAAGAACTGACAACTGTATAATCATCTATATAACAGCATTGCCAATATTGAAAAGGCTAACAGAAATACAACTGTTAATCTCCAACGTAACAATAAACTTATATCTAGTTACATTATTTCATTAAATAGGCAAATGAGAAACAGACTAAGAATAATGAAGGTGTCGTATATTTACAACATCATAGATTGACAAATACTGTAGTGAACGAAAATATAATTGAGGACAACCAAATGTATTTCAATACAGCATTACAGAATGTCTCAGTAAAATCTGAGAACCATTTGCAAAATGTTGATCAATCATCTCAGACTACATTGTCTCTTTGTTTCTACACCAATCATTCTTTGTTCTCATTCTCTTTTCTTCATTCTTCTTAACCTTCTCCACCACCAGGCGTTTCACATTCGATTGATGATGCATAACTCACAATACTATACTGCGAACATAAATACGATTGAAAAAGATTTTAACATAATACAGAGTGTCTTTTTCAAACTATTCGGAACTTTTCAATGTCTAGTTTCAAGTACAATCATTGAAACATTCAAAAGTTATGTATGTTTTTGTTGTCATAGCAACAATGGTGTTACGTGTTAAGTGACAATTATGTTAACAACAGTTTTGAGCCATGGAATGTATATTATTGGTCAAATTAGTATACCATTGATAATTTAGATGAATTTAATAATCGAAAATGATTAAAGGACGATTATTATTCATTAATTCAAGGTTTCTGTTAAGTATGAAAATTTGTCATTTATAACACAATAACTAGATAAGCTACTATTGTTAGTGTAGACAGTAATATGTTACTGATGTTGACAGATATGAGTAGTATATAACATCAATTGAAAATGAAATGCCTGTTGGCAGAAGGTTGAGAAGATTGAAAAGAAAGGGACGAGAACAGAGAGTGATTGCTATGGAAATGAAGAGATAATACAGTCTGAGACAATTGATGGTAACTTCATAATAAAAGTATTTACTGTGGGTCCTTAGATTTTACCAAGAGATTCTGTAATTTTGTACACTACACATATTCATTAAAAAGATACAAATGGAAATGAGTAAGGTAATGTCATCAAAGTATGTTTATACTTTGTAAGGATGAGACATCAATAATATGTCATGAGTTCAGAAGTGGTTCCATACTATCTTGAACTCATCAAAATGCGGTTTGTCAAAAACTGAATAAGATAACGCGGAGGAAGAAATCAGGAAGAAGAGCTTCTATTTTTTGACATCTAACGAGCAGAAAAATATTAATCTAACGATAGTATCATTAGGAATGAAGATGTGCAACAGTTGAGACCATCTATTTTAAGTAGTAATTAATCATAAATAAAATAGTTGCTATCATTATTATTTTAATTCGTTGATTGCATTAAAAAAGCAGAACATCAATGCATATGATAATAAACACCGATAGGTACCATGATAGATGTGATATTTGTTAAAATTTATTAATCTGTCACATCTGAGTATAAATTAAGCTCTAGTAGTATTTGTGTTTTATATGTAAATGTATTCATCGAATAAAATATTTCTTTATGAGTTGTTTAGCTTCAGAAAGAAATTACTAGGGTACTATCATGTAGTTGTAACTAGTGGACTTCAATCGTGTTGAATATATGGAAGGCACCTATATTGAGTGACTTTAATTAAACTTACGTTTTCGTTGACTGATTGGAATTAAACTTGTAAACTTTTGGGTCCCGGTTCAGTGGTGTGGATTTTGTGTGTGCGCGCAGGTTAGAAGATTATTGGTTTGACCATTGATATATAAGTTGTGGATTCATAGTACCGAAAGTTCTATACTTGAGCGAGTAAGCTGTCAAGTGCTTCAAGGTTTTTAATGATTGTCTAACTATAGTCAGTTAGTGATCGCAATAACAAATCTTTAATTCAGCGCTGAATAACATATCTTTATATCAACTGTACATATTATCTAAGCAGATAACTATATAAAAACAATATGGAAATTGCCAAAAATTTGAACTTCATATTGTTATACTTTTTGTCGGAGTAGTGATAAAATCAACAAACTAATATGTAACAGTGTAAAAATTATACGAGTAATACCCATAACATTGGTTCTATTATAGGCAAGTAGTATTTTAGCTGAGTCAGTTGGATGTCATTTAACCATGTCTAAATACAAACTTAAGACGCTCTACTTGCTTTCCTCATATTTAACAATAACGTAGATATAAGTCTTGAACAAACACACATATATATTTGAAAACGCTGCCCACATAGGCTAACACTGTCATATTTATTTGCTCCACCACACAATAGACTAAAAATCTTATCCCGCTGCAATCGTCTTGAATACACTCATATCCTGATTGTAGGGGACTTCAATCTTCCTAAAGTCAACTTCGCTGAACACACGGACATTGAATATGACAAATCTACTGAAGCTCGGTTCTTGAGGATCTCGGACTATTTGAAAATGTGAGGTTATCAACTATCTGGAGAAATAACTAGTCACTGTCACGCTGAGACTTCATATTTACCAACACAGAATTCCTAATTAACAGTATTGCAATTCTAGATCCATTGTGTAAAATTGGTCATCCCATCATATCCTTTAATTTTATCAGCGAAACTGAGCTAAAACATCTGAATAGCGACAGGGAATAGAATCGCAAACTGTTGGATGTGTCCACTTTACAGGCGAATCTACAGTAGATGGACTGGTAAGCTTACTCTGAACTTGATGTGGACGTTTATTTGGACTTCTTACTGAACACGATCTTGTGTGCTACAAAATCGTCTGTTCTGGAAACAGTTCACAAATTCTACAAGTAACATAAAGTCATGAAAAATCTCACCCTTTGAAAGCTAAAACACAAAAGGCACTGGCAGGAGTAATATAAATGAAATCTTGAAAACAGTACATAATAGCAGTTCAGATATGCAAAGGATCAATGCACTAATCCAATAAGAGAAGTCAGGCTTTACTACCAAATAAAGCTAATTTATGAAGTTGTCTTCAATCCTCAAACCTTATTCCTTTTTCGTGCCTATAGGTAACCCTCGTGTTATTGATAGAAGAAATCAGACAATAATTGAGTACGTCTTTATTTCGATCTTAGCGCAGTCACAGTGGAGCGTGGGATTATCTGTTCAGACAAACAAAGGCTTTCAGCATTCAAAATAAGATAATAAGGAATATAACGCTTATACAAAATAAGGAAGTGAATGAATACTTGAACAATACTGTTTTGGCATATGCTTGGTTGTTTGGGGTCAACTCTTAACCAACCAACCTATGCTGTTACATTAGCTTCCCCCTAGAATTGACTTCCGCAGGAACGTCGGTTCGATTAACCTATCTATCAAAAACACCTTAGTTCTATTTCTCATTCCAAGGGAAAATTATCAACTCACTCAATGTTTGACTTACAATAAGTGGCAACTAACGCTGTCAACGGTAGTTCATGGATGTCTCTTCATTTACTAGCTTGTCATCTTATTTTGTAGCATGTGATTTCTTCTACAACTATAGCTGACGGTTTACTGCGTGCTTTCATGAGAAAGAGTGTTAAACTGTGGAATAAGAATATCTGAGGAAGTGCCGCGAGCGGGCTACCCAACACCATGTTGGTGAGGTACGATTTTTCCATGCTCAGACCGGCTATCAGGTGTTTACTCACCTGCCTCTTGAGTCGCCCTCAAGTAAAAAGTAAAGAAGAATCTACTTCAAAGGTAATGGTGAAAACCAATCAAACCTAAAGAACCGCTCCACTGCCTGCATCAAAATAATAAGATACAAAATGGAAATACATAAACATCATTGATAATTGTTCGGTTCCACGTAAGTGATTGGCCTCCAGAACGGATTGGTATTCTGGAAGAAAATAGACATAGGGTAGCCATCTTGTGTACGAAAAGGTATGAAAACAAATAAAATCCTTTTTTATAATGTACAAATGTAAAAGTGTAAACTTGCTAGAAGTTGGACTCATTGTCAAACCCGTTCAAATATGTGACCTTGGGTCGTGATCGTTGTGGTGACCTGCTACTGTTTGTATGACCCATTTGCATTCTGGTGACAGCCTCAGTGAGACTCTTAACACTCGCAATGAGTCCTTCTATGACGGGGTCTTTTGCTGATTCTACTTTCTGTGTGTGATTTATTGTGCCTGATCCAGTTGGAGGACCTCTTTCCATTATTCTATCAGCTATACGCGCTAAATGAGATAATGAGGTTTCAGGATCTTGTGCATCCAAACAGTGTTGGACGTAGCATGGGAGAGCTTGTATCCATCCTTGTTTTAGGACTGCTTCACCCACTGTGTTATCACCCACTAAGACTTGGAGGTGACGTAGAAACTGTGACGGCGACCGATCACCTAGTGTTTCACCTTGAAAAAGTCTTTGGATTCTTTGACTATCTGATAATGATAAACGGTTCATTATCTCTCGTCTTAAGACGGTGTACGGTTGTGGTGATGGTGGATCTAAAATCAAGTCACGGACTTCTTTGGCGACTGAAGGAGGAAGGATAGAACACAAATCTCTATAGCGAATCCCTTCAGATTTGATATTGTGTCTCGTGAAATAATGCTCGAGTTGAGCAAACCACAACTCAGGATCACTACGATCAAATTCTGGAAGTCGAGATTTCGTAGTCATAACAGTGTCTATCTCCACTGGTGACAAATCCTCCAGATTATGGGTTTCTTTTAAGTCTGACATGAGGTATGTGACAAATATAGCAATAAAATTAGCACGAAAAAAAATGGTTTCTATGACACGAATAACTTAAGATAATAAAAAGAATAAACTACTTATATACCCAACTTAGTTTACGGATTATCAGGTCTACTTTTACGATTGAGTAAAAAAAAATAATATTAATAACAAAAATGAGGTTAATTTGTGTTCAAAAAGGGCTCACCAATTTCGTGCCTATAGGTAACCCTCGTGTTATTGATAGAAGAAATCAGACAATAATTGAGTACGTCTTTATTTCGATCTTAGCGCAGTCACAGTGGAGCGTGGGATTATCTGTTCAGACAAACAAAGGCTTTCAGCATTCAAAATAAGATAATAAGGAATATAACGCTTATACAAAATAAGGAAGTGAATGAATACTTGAACAATACTGTTTTGGCATATGCTTGGTTGTTTGGGGTCAACTCTTAACCAACCAACCTATGCTGTTACATTAGCTTCCCCCTAGAATTGACTTCCGCAGGAACGTCGGTTCGATTAACCTATCTATCAAAAACACCTTAGTTCTATTTCTCATTCCAAGGGAAAATTATCAACTCACTCAATGTTTGACTTACAATAAGTGGCAACTAACGCTGTCAACGGTAGTTCATGGATGTCTCTTCATTTACTAGCTTGTCATCTTATTTTGTAGCATGTGATTTCTTCTACAACTATAGCTGACGGTTTACTGCGTGCTTTCATGAGAAAGAGTGTTAAACTGTGGAATAAGAATATCTGAGGAAGTGCCGCGAGCGGGCTACCCAACACCATGTTGGTGAGGTACGATTTTTCCATGCTCAGATCGGCTATCAGGTGTTTACTCACCTGCCTCTTGAGTCGCCCTCAAGTAAAAAGTAAAGAAGAATCTACTTCAAAGGTAATGGTGAAAACCAATCAAACCTAAAGAACCGCTCCACTGCCTGCATCAAAATAATAAGATACAAAATGGAAATACATAAACATCATTGATAATTGTTCGGTTCCACGTAAGTGATTGGCCTCCAGAACGGATTGGTATTCTGGAAGAAAATAGACATAGGGTAGCCATCTTGTGTACGAAAAGGTATGAAAACAAATAAAATCCTTTTTTATAATGTACAAATGTAAAAGTGTAAACTTGCTAGAAGTTGGACTCATTGTCAAACCCGTTCAAATATGTGACCTTGGGTCGTGATCGTTGTGGTGACCTGCTACTGTTTGTATGACCCATTTGCATTCTGGTGACAGCCTCAGTGAGACTCTTAACACTCGCAATGAGTCCTTCTATGACGGGGTCTTTTGCTGATTCTACTTTCTGTGTGTGATTTATTGTGCCTGATCCAGTTGGAGGACCTCTTTCCATTATTCTATCAGCTATACGCGCTAAATGAGATAATGAGGTTTCAGGATCTTGTGCATCCAAACAGTGTTGGACGTAGCATGGGAGAGCTTGTATCCATCCTTGTTTTAGGACTGCTTCACCCACTGTGTTATCACCCACTAAGACTTGGAGGTGACGTAGAAACTGTGACGGCGACCGATCACCTAGTGTTTCACCTTGAAAAAGTCTTTGGATTCTTTGACTATCTGATAATGATAAACGGTTCATTATCTCTCGTCTTAAGACGGTGTACGGTTGTGGTGATGGTGGATCTAAAATCAAGTCACGGACTTCTTTGGCGACTGAAGGAGGAAGGATAGAACACAAATCTCTATAGCGAATCCCTTCAGATTTGATATTGTGTCTCGTGAAATAATGCTCGAGTTGAGCAAACCACAACTCAGGATCACTACGATCAAATTCTGGAAGTCGAGATTTCGTAGTCATAACAGTGTCTATCTCCACTGGTGACAAATCCTCCAGATTATGGGTTTCTTTTAAGTCTGACATGAGGTATGTGACAAATATAGCAATAAAATTAGCACGAAAAAAAATGGTTTCTATGACACGAATAACTTAAGATAATAAAAAGAATAAACTACTTATATACCCAACTTAGTTTACGGATTATCAGGTCTACTTTTACGATTGAGTAAAAAAAAATAATATTAATAACAAAAATGAGGTTAATTTGTGTTCAAAAAGGGCTCACCAATTTCGTGCCTATAGGTAACCCTCGTGTTATTGATAGAAGAAATCAGACAATAATTGAGTACGTCTTTATTTCGATCTTAGCGCAGTCACAGTGGAGCGTGGGATTATCTGTTCAGACAAACAAAGGCTTTCAGCATTCAAAATAAGATAATAAGGAATATAACGCTTATACAAAATAAGGAAGTGAATGAATACTTGAACAATACTGTTTTGGCATATGCTTGGTTGTTTGGGGTCAACTCTTAACCAACCAACCTATGCTGTTACATTAGCTTCCCCCTAGAATTGACTTCCGCAGGAACGTCGGTTCGATTAACCTATCTATCAAAAACACCTTAGTTCTATTTCTCATTCCAAGGGAAAATTATCAACTCACTCAATGTTTGACTTACAATAAGTGGCAACTAACGCTGTCAACGGTAGTTCATGGATGTCTCTTCATTTACTAGCTTGTCATCTTATTTTGTAGCATGTGATTTCTTCTACAACTATAGCTGACGGTTTACTGCGTGCTTTCATGAGAAAGAGTGTTAAACTGTGGAATAAGAATATCTGAGGAAGTGCCGCGAGCGGGCTACCCAACACCATGTTGGTGAGGTACGATTTTTCCATGCTCAGACCGGCTATCAGGTGTTTACTCACCTGCCTCTTGAGTCGCCCTCAAGTAAAAAGTAAAGAAGAATCTACTTCAAAGGTAATGGTGAAAACCAATCAAACCTAAAGAACCGCTCCACTGCCTGCATCAAAATAATAAGATACAAAATGGAAATACATAAACATCATTGATAATTGTTCGGTTCCACGTAAGTGATTGGCCTCCAGAACGGATTGGTATTCTGGAAGAAAATAGACATAGGGTAGCCATCTTGTGTACGAAAAGGTATGAAAACAAATAAAATCCTTTTTTATAATGTACAAATGTAAAAGTGTAAACTTGCTAGAAGTTGGACTCATTGTCAAACCCGTTCAAATATGTGACCTTGGGTCGTGATCGTTGTGGTGACCTGCTACTGTTTGTATGACCCATTTGCATTCTGGTGACAGCCTCAGTGAGACTCTTAACACTCGCAATGAGTCCTTCTATGACGGGGTCTTTTGCTGATTCTACTTTCTGTGTGTGATTTATTGTGCCTGATCCAGTTGGAGGACCTCTTTCCATTATTCTATCAGCTATACGCGCTAAATGAGATAATGAGGTTTCAGGATCTTGTGCATCCAAACAGTGTTGGACGTAGCATGGGAGAGCTTGTATCCATCCTTGTTTTAGGACTGCTTCACCCACTGTGTTATCACCCACTAAGACTTGGAGGTGACGTAGAAACTGTGACGGCGACCGATCACCTAGTGTTTCACCTTGAAAAAGTCTTTGGATTCTTTGACTATCTGATAATGATAAACGGTTCATTATCTCTCGTCTTAAGACGGTGTACGGTTGTGGTGATGGTGGATCTAAAATCAAGTCACGGACTTCTTTGGCGACTGAAGGAGGAAGGATAGAACACAAATCTCTATAGCGAATCCCTTCAGATTTGATATTGTGTCTCGTGAAATAATGCTCGAGTTGAGCAAACCACAACTCAGGATCACTACGATCAAATTCTGGAAGTCGAGATTTCGTAGTCATAACAGTGTCTATCTCCACTGGTGACAAATCCTCCAGATTATGGGTTTCTTTTAAGTCTGACATGAGGTATGTGACAAATATAGCAATAAAATTAGCACGAAAAAAAATGGTTTCTATGACACGAATAACTTAAGATAATAAAAAGAATAAACTACTTATATACCCAACTTAGTTTACGGATTATCAGGTCTACTTTTACGATTGAGTAAAAAAAAATAATATTAATAACAAAAATGAGGTTAATTTGTGTTCAAAAAGGGCTCACCAATTTCGTGCCTATAGGTAACCCTCGTGTTATTGATAGAAGAAATCAGACAATAATTGAGTACGTCTTTATTTCGATCTTAGCGCAGTCACAGTGGAGCGTGGGATTATCTGTTCAGACAAACAAAGGCTTTCAGCATTCAAAATAAGATAATAAGGAATATAACGCTTATACAAAATAAGGAAGTGAATGAATACTTGAACAATACTGTTTTGGCATATGCTTGGTTGTTTGGGGTCAACTCTTAACCAACCAACCTATGCTGTTACATTAGCTTCCCCCTAGAATTGACTTCCGCAGGAACGTCGGTTCGATTAACCTATCTATCAAAAACACCTTAGTTCTATTTCTCATTCCAAGGGAAAATTATCAACTCACTCAATGTTTGACTTACAATAAGTGGCAACTAACGCTGTCAACGGTAGTTCATGGATGTCTCTTCATTTACTAGCTTGTCATCTTATTTTGTAGCATGTGATTTCTTCTACAACTATAGCTGACGGTTTACTGCGTGCTTTCATGAGAAAGAGTGTTAAACTGTGGAATAAGAATATCTGAGGAAGTGCCGCGAGCGGGCTACCCAACACCATGTTGGTGAGGTACGATTTTTCCATGCTCAGACCGGCTATCAGGTGTTTACTCACCTGCCTCTTGAGTCGCCCTCAAGTAAAAAGTAAAGAAGAATCTACTTCAAAGGTAATGGTGAAAACCAATCAAACCTAAAGAACCGCTCCACTGCCTGCATCAAAATAATAAGATACAAAATGGAAATACATAAACATCATTGATAATTGTTCGGTTCCACGTAAGTGATTGGCCTCCAGAACGGATTGGTATTCTGGAAGAAAATAGACATAGGGTAGCCATCTTGTGTACGAAAAGGTATGAAAACAAATAAAATCCTTTTTTATAATGTACAAATGTAAAAGTGTAAACTTGCTAGAAGTTGGACTCATTGTCAAACCCGTTCAAATATGTGACCTTGGGTCGTGATCGTTGTGGTGACCTGCTACTGT